TCCTAATATGGGCATAAGAAAATGGCGCCGACTACAAAAAGACGACATGACTACAGTGGTCTATTTAAGGTGGAATGAGAAAATTTGAACAAGAAGCTGGTAAAAAAAAAGAAGCTGACTTCAGCTTCTTTAAGGCAGCAAGTATTCTTGGAGCAGTGGGCTTTTGTTTTTGGGATAACGGACTTAGCTATGGCTGCCGTACATAGCCAGCGACGCATCTAGCTAACACTGACAGAGTTACAAAAAAATCCACATGTGCTGGTTTATCATGTGTGTATAAACAATAAAAACATTGCAAATGAATACATTATCATACACATTGATCAACTTACAGTATAGTAAGTATAGTATAGTATGTCACTTGGTATTGTATAGTATAGCATGTCACTTAGTATTGTCCAAGTTTAATATTGTCGAAGTGTAATGTTGCGCTCGTTCCTGTAGGTTCAGTGTCCTCAGCCTAGCAACCCATGTGAGGTTTGAGTCTGGGGAGGAAGGGGGCGGGACAGACAACTCTCTCCAACACTTTGAATTTGGACTTCAGTCCCCATTTTAAACGCATGCTGTCAGTACAACATATTGCTCTTTTAATATATTCTCTGAATGTACTTACACAACTGTGTGTGTTGTCCTGCCCTGCATTCACACTCTTATAGATAGATCATGTGTTGGGCGGATTTCATTTATAGGTGCATAAGTGTGTTCATGAGCATGTGCATGTCTGTGTTTATGTAAATTGGTGCTGCTGATGTGTGTCCTTGTCCCTGTCTGAAGGGGCTGAAGGTCAGATTATTATGATGAGTGAGGCTGGATGACCTCCACACAACACTTAAATGTTTCTCTCTGCCTTGACCCAGCTTTCCCAGACGTGAATGACTAGTAGCTTTCCATAGACCACTGTAGTCGTGTCGTCATTTTTGTAGTCGGCGCCATGTTCTTATGCCCATATTAGGAACTCTGGGTCTAAGCTCCATTTCTCTATGGCCAGAATGAATAGGGTTTTTGAAAAATCGCCTCTATCGCACACTGTGTTAAATAGAAATCTTCAGAACCCGATACATTTTGTCCTGTGAACATTCTTCGCTGGATCCTCCGAATTACAGGGCATTAAAGAGTTGAAATATGAATATTGCTACATGTAAGCTAAAGCAACTGCGCACTGAATTCACGTCATTAGACTGACAGTCTCCTTAAGCAGGTTTTGGCAGTAAACATTTCCAAGTACAGACTGAGGGCAGATGAAAAGAAGTCAGAACAAAATCAGCAGGTTTCCCTGCAGTTCTCTGTTCTTCATCTGATGTTCACTGAAACACGACCCCCAGATGAGCTGATTTAGGCTCTCAGAATATCCTAATTATTATTTTAATGCTGGTAACATATTTCTGAGGACATTTTCTCAGGACATAAGCCAGCTTTTTGTTCGACTTTTCCCGTTCCAGCTTAAATGGCGCAGCTGTCACGTTCTGAACTGCTGTGCCTTTTAAGGTGGAACGGGATTGAAAGGCATGGTATGAGGAGGTTTCTCTATTTCCTAAGTTAACATTAACTTATTTTTGCTGCTTCACAGAACCAGCAGGTCAGTATTTTGTTTCGTTTGCTAATGTTTGTAATAGCTAGTCAAAGCTGCTGCACTATTTAAGGTGGAACTGGAATATTCAAACAAGAAGCTGGCGAAAAAAGAAGCTTAATTCAGTCTTGTAGTTTTAACACGGGTAGTCTTTTTTTGATAAGGAGTTTTAGTCTATCAAGATATCCCACCCAGAGGTTTTATTTACGGGTATACCTGTAATTATACGCTATGGTAGAACATTTCGATAAGATACCACAGCTCGTCAGAGAACCACCACAGCCTGCCTTAGTTTCGTGTAGCTTAGTGACATCAAATTGATGCGCAGTAGCGTTAGCTCACATGCAGCAGTATTAGCATTATAGCACTTTAACGACCTCGTAATTCGGAGGATTCAGTGGTATTCGGGAGAAGAATGTACACAGGACAAAACGTATCGGGTTCTGAACATTATTATTTAACACAGGGTGCGATAGAGGCGATTTTTCGAAAACCTATTCATTCTGGCCATAGAGAAATGGGGCTTAGACCCGAGGTTCCTAATATGTGCATAACGAGGACTACAGAATGACGCACGACTATAGTGGTCTATTCAGCACAGCTCCATTTATGTCATACCCAACGTTATATTAAAGTGTTAGGTCAGCAAGAAAACAAATTTACACAATTTTCGGTCTTACCCCAAATGCAACCCCCAAGAGTAATTCCACTGAATTTATGAAATTATAATTTACTAAACGTAAACAATTTTATAATCTAAAATGACTAGTGAACCTACATGTGCCTTCTAGGGTATCTGCGAAATTGTGTGACATGTTTTTTTCAGTTTTTCCAAATATGAATTTTTAGCATTACTGCAATTGAAGTGGGCGGCACGGTGGCGCAGTGGGTAGCGCTGTCGCCTCACAGCAAGAATGGCCTGGGTTCGATTCCCGGCTGGGCGACCGGGGTCATTTCTGTGTGGAGTTTGCGTGGGTTTCCTCCCACAGTCCAAAGACATGCAGTTAGGCCAATTGGACATGCTAAATTGCCCCTAGGTGTGAGTGAATGTGTATGTCTGCCCTGCAATGGACTGGCGACCTGTCCAGGGTGTATCCTGCCTTCCGCCCAATGACAGCTGGGATAGGCTCCAGCACCCCACCGTGACCCAGAAGGATAAGTGGTTTAGATGATGTATGTATGCAATTGAAGTTATAGTTGTGTTGGCAAAACAAGCAGTAAAATATGCATTTTCAGTGGGTTCATTTGACAATTCTATTCATTTCTTAATCCTGACATGCTGTATCTACTGATATGTCACGAATGAATCCATGAAGGCAGGTTTAACCAACTGTCGATCTAAATTAGAATAGAGAGTTAAGTTATAACAAAATTACAACCATGCCTGCTCAGTGCACAACATTTGTAGTCAGGGCTGCTTCTTGCTGTAAGTGATACAAGGCATTGCTAGGGCCCCTGAGCCACAAGGGCTCCAGTGAGTATGTAGATTTATTTATTTAAATTACTTGTACTTAATTTAGAGTGTTGTATTATAGAGGCACAGGTGTGATGTCACCAAATCCAGAAGCGTGTCAAGGTAATTACAATGTGTTTATACTACACGTAGCCTGTAAATGTCATAGAATTACAGTACTGTAATTACAGTATGCATCTGCAGTACAGTAGAATAACTGTTACTTTTTTGCAGTCATCCAAAAGCAATTGCTTTTCTTCATCACTGTGCTAATACTTCATCTCTACAGCACATATGCATGTGAAGTAGGGAGGTTTGAGTTTGGTGGACAATACGTCCTGTCTTGTGAGGAAATGTAAAATTGTGGAATAAGCAGGGGCAAAGAGCAAAGAGGATGAAAGAGAGAAAGAGAGGGAAGGAGAGAGAGAGAGAGAGAGAGAAAGATAGAGAGAGGAAGACAGAAGACAAGAGAGGTGAAGAGAAGGTGGAGGCTTCTCTGATGTTGCTGACTCAGGCCTATTCAAGAAAAGTGTTGATTTCCACTCCATTTCTCTTGCTATTTTGTAATTCTAATGAAAGGAGGAAAGACTGGCAGGGGTTTCAGAGGGATGGAGAGAGAGAGAGAGAGAGAGAGAGAGAGAGAGAGAGAGAGAGCAGAGAGAGAGAGAGCAGATCGGATTAAATATCGACTGACTTCAGGCTGTCCAGTGCAGACAAGCAGCGGTGCACTGACTTATCATCAGTGAGCTGTGCCAGCACTGGTAAAAGGAAAGACAGAAAAAAGGAAGAGTGAAGGGATGGAGCCAGAGAAAGAGAGGGAGAGAGACAGAGAGAAGAGAGGAAAAGGGAAGTGCAGAGAAAAAAAACACAGAAAGGGATAGAACGTTGGCTTTACATGGTGAAACTGGTTGCAAGTTGCATGAAAAAAAATGCATGCAGTTTAAAAGTTACAAGAAGCAGTTTAACTGATTAAATTAATCAGTGTTGTATGCAACACAGTTACAATAGTTGTCAAGATTAGCTGCTAGTGTTTTTCATGTATGATGTTGTTCTGGCTATACAAATGTGTTACTTAACTTACATTTGCATCTTGTATTATTCTATGTTGAGAGATGATACAATTAATTATTACATTAAGTTTAGAACAGTTCATGCAACATGGAACAGCGGGTAGAAAACAACCAAGTAGGCAACATAGACGAGCATCATTAAGATGAATGATTATATTTTAGGCAATGTGAGTTGGAAAAAAGTTAAAAATACATAGCTACAGACTAAATCAAAGCTAAATCAAAAAATGCTATACACATTCTACTACTGAATGTTCTTTATGTTCTGTATGTGCAGATTATTAGATTATTAAAGTAGTGCTTTCCAAAATCCCACAACACATACTTAACCACTTCAACTGTGATTTGAACCAGCGTGGTAAACAATGTGGTAGCAATTTTAAAAAACTATCACTAGATGGAGACATTTTAAATAAGAGACATGAAGTGCATGACACTAACAAAAAGTGCTGCCTACTCGGATATTTTTTTGTTTTGCCTTGAGGCATTTCCCAGTCCATTGTTTGATGCAAAATGCGGCCTGCAGAGGCTATTTTAGAAGGCAGCATAGACAGTATTCAATGGCCAAGGAATCCCATCCACCTGATGCACAAATTCCTCAGTGTCATTATGATATGATGGTAGAAAACATATAAAAGATGAAAACATATCCTATAAACAACGTGCATCAATGTGCGTCAGTTTTAGTAGTCTATTAGCCTATATTACCTATGAACTTGTAGAGAACTCTCACACCCAACGCAAGGACTGTGTTCAAAATAGCATGGATGAATGCTTACTTTGTTTACTTGCTACATAGGACACGTTTTGAGACGTACCTACCCACTCGCTAGACAACACTAGGCAGCAAGGCAGCTAGGCAGCTAGGCATTTGCGTTCCGTGTCAGACGCGCCCAGCGCGAACAAGCTGAGGAAATGTCGTAGAGGAAGAAGTTCTTTTGTGGAGGTCGTTGTGGGTTGTGAGTGTTGAGTTTGGGCCATGACTTAGTTTGGGACTTGAAAATTTGCACGTACACGGAGCTGAAGGTAGGTCTCTGTTAGCAACGTGGACTGTGATGAGAACTGTGTTGTAGGGATATGGAGCTTTAAACTCGGATCACGTCTCGTCATAAGTGTTGCTAAGTTAGCTAACCTAGCTAGCGTTAGCTAACTAACTAACAGTTGGTGAACTTTCACCATTTTATAAACACGTGCAACTGTGTGTCCTAAATATAGTAGCTAATTTCTGTGTAAGACTTTTAGTATTAATATTATTATTATTATTGTTATTATTATCATAGTTGGCATTATTATTATTATTATTAGTAGTAGTAGTAGTAGTAGCTAGTAGTAGTGGTGGTGGTGCGAGTAGTAGGCGAAACTTATGTATTTGACTAGCTAGCTGTTAGATTACCTACAAGGCACCAGCGCTAGCTAGCTAGCTTGGTAAGTTAACGCTATGTTAAGTTACCCAACTTCTCTTCGATTTTGACAGGTTTGGACATATTTAGGTTGCATCTAAGCAGCAGAACATGGCCAATAAGCTAAATTAAATATTTTCATGGTTCATAATGCTACAATATTGATATTTCACTTTACGTAGCTATGATATCCTGAAAAATGGAAACAAAAAAGACGTGAAAATGACCACAATCATCTACGCTGCCTACTGTGTGTTGAAAGTGCAGATGGGAAACCTTTCTGATGTTCGCCGTCACCGATACCGTGTAGAATCAAAGATCATCCTCTCGGTTCTGTCTTGTAGCTGTTAACTCTGGATGTTTATTGTGAAGAGTAAAATGCTCCATCGCCACCAGACACTCTGGATCTGTTACAGGTGCTTCATTTTAGAAAAAAGAAAAAAAAACAAAACAAACGTATTAGATTAACCAGTGAATGCTTTTGAATGGAAGGGTGTTACGACTCATGTTTAGCAGAAGTAACTGTTTTCAGGTTCGCAAGAGGCTGAATCTTTTAGTGTAACGTTACAGGGTGAGAATTTCCGGTGAGAAAACTCAGTTGTAGTTGCTATGGACTTAATTAGCTTGCAATAGACTGAAGAATGAATATAACAAGCTAAATTTAGAATCTTTTTTTTTTTCTCAAACTGAGTTATGTACTGGACTAAAACGATTTGGTCATGTCCTTCTTTAACCCTGGTCAGAAGACGGCCGACGACAGCTGAAGGCCAAGTAAGGCCAGAACTGGCTGCATGACGTTGATGTGAGGTTACATATTGTCTGCTTGTGTTTCCTATGGAGCCTCCGTCCTTCGACTCCAAAAGAGTTTTGAAAGTAGATGTTGAATGTATATACATTGAACCCCTCTGCCCTTTCATCAACAGTAATCAGCTAAAGTACATCTCAGGCTAAAATTGCCTAAAAGCCTTAAAGCATTTCTGAACTTTTAGAAAGGGCTGGAGAGCTGAGGCCCAGAGTAGAGTCCAGGACAGTTTGCACATTTTTTCTGTTCTGACACCAACTAAACCTTAATTAACTGCACAGTTTAATCAGTTGTGTTTGAGCAGGAAAATGACCAAACCGCAGACCAGCGTTCTCCACCCCGTTTTAGAAGTTACTGGCTTTCCTTAATGATGTTGGATCTTATTTACAATAAAGTAATGGGCTCAGCACTAGACAGTTATCAAGACAGAATTCATATAAACTGTAACGGTTACTGGTTACAGAGGAAAAGAACTACAATTTGTGATTTTTTTTTTTCTCTTACTAATGTGCACTGGACCAGCGCTCCCTAAGTGAGTCCTACTTTAACCAACATAGGAAAATAAGAAGTCTCTCAGATTAGCAGTGTAAGCTAACCTCTTTTACCACTATCTTGACCTGAAAGTGAAGAGACAATGGAGGACTACCCCACTGAAGATGAGGCAGCGTTTTACTCCAAGGCGGAGCATTATTGGAAAGAGATATCACCCACTGTAGATGGCATGCTCGGAGGTTATGGCAGCATTTCTAGCATTGACATCAACGGTTCCAAAAAGTTCCTGCAGAAGTTCCTTGGGGTGAGTTGTTTATATGCATGTTTGATGTTGGACAGATTTGTGTGTAAGTGAAATCTGTGGTATGTGTGAAACCTTTTCATTTCTTAAATAAACTAGACTTGTACAGAACTTCATATATAAGCTAGGTTAATCTTTAGCACAACAAATTGGGGATTACATCCCTGTAAAATACCAGGTTCGAAAGCATGTCAGATGTAGTAACAATCCTGTTCACCTTCTGTATCCCCTTGTTCTCTGTTCTGTTTTTCCCAGGAGGGTAAAGGTAAGACAAGACCAGGTTGTGCGCTGGACTGTGGGGCAGGAATTGGCCGCATCACCAAGCGTCTGCTACTACCCCTCTTCCGGACTGTGGATTTGGTGGACGTGACCCAGGAGTTTCTGGACAAAGCCCGCTCCTACCTGGGTGAAGAGGGGAAGAGAGTGGAGAATTATTTTTGCTGTGGCCTGCAGGATTTCCAGCCTCAGCTGGAACGTTACGATGTAATCTGGATCCAGTGGGTCATCGGTATGTCATGGAATTTTCTGCCATTGGAAATGTTTTATGCACCTTATTTTTCACATGAGGAACAGAAGTGTCTTACTGTTTCAAGGAAACTGCTTATTTCTCTGAAGCATTTCCTGAACAAAGTGCAGTTTGCAGCTGTCACTACAGCACAGTGAAACTGAAAGAGTATGGCAAGACTAGCAATGTTCTGAGTAAAAAAAATAAATAAATAAATAATAATAATAATAAACCTCTAAAGAAAGCAAAGTGCTTCAGGAGACATATGAATGTGGCTTCATAGTCACTACTTAAAAGCCCAGTTGTATTTATTGAAATCCATGCCTATAAAGCCAACCAGCCAGTTAAACATCACTGGTTGCTGCTGACAGACTTGAATTGATAGTATTCCAATGATGTCAAAATTGCACTGCCACTATTTTGGTAGGCAACTTTAAGTTTATTCAGCAGTGCTGTGGCTGTTTGCAATGAAATAATAAGCCATAACTGATCCAGCAAAGGTAGTAAAACACAGGTTTAACAATTTTTAAATTTGCTTTGGCAGTTTTAGTAGCCACTTTTATTCGTTTTTATGAAATACTACACTGAAATGTTCAGAATTTTGGAGAAATGCAGGTTATACAGATCCAGTCCAACAATCTAGCTAATCTTTTTCTTGCAGTGTCTTCAAATCTTTTTCCTTTTTTGTGGTCATTCTGGTCTATTTTGCTTGGTTTTTATCCACCTGCAGCGTTGTAGCTGCAGTAACATCGACAAGATAAATTCTATCAGAGCACAATTAGAGTGACAGCTTGCCAAATAGCAACATGGTCTTCGTAATTACATATTTGAGTACTATGAATTTGACATCTGCCCTTTACTACAGTAGGCTGAGCTATTCTAGAGCGGACCTCAAACTCCAACAAAATGCTGAGCTAACCCTGTTAGTTTGGTGCTATATTCCATACGAGCAGCTAGGGCTGGGCGATAAAACGATAACGATAATTATCGCGATATAACTTTTCCTCGATAGAGCGATACAACATGTTCGATAAATGTTCGATATAAGACACCATTCTCATACTTCCACGTTCAGCGAAAGCCTTGGTGGCGTTTTCTACTGCAAGGAAGGCGACACTACTCTGCTGTCGCCAGGATAGGGCGCACTTCCGAGTTTTTCCGACATGATTTAGAGAGGGCCACGAGTAAGATGAGTCTTTAGCAACGGCTGAAACGCAGAGTTATACGTTCCCTGTTTGAGTGGAGCGACCGGCGATCTGCTCTCCTGTGACCGTGTGTGAGTGACGAGGTCAGTGGTGTAACTATACTGTCCTACAGCGAGCTCACCTCTTTCTGTATATCCTAACCAGCTTTAGCAGTGTTAAATCACAATCCTCACAACTACAGCGCTTTTACAGCGCTCGGACAGTCATAATTTAGTATGAGTGCATTCGCAAGCAACAAAAGTGAAAGAAAGAAGTGGGTTCATGTAAATTACAGCCCTGATTTATACGAAAGTAAACTGAGGAAGCTGTGAGGCATTGGAAAGTGGGAGAGCGCTAGCTTTCCAGGCTAGCTGTTTTTAGCAGCTGGCTAACTTGAAGCAGCGTGCTGTCACTTGCGCAACACGGAGAATTGATGATACTGTGGATCAAACAAGACACAAAAGCACCGCTTTCAGTTTAAACGTACCTAAAAGGAGGACTCCGTTTGTCTGATGTTGATATTTTGTGGTTCACCCCTTAAACTATTAAGATAGTATAGAGAAATCCAGTCATCGCTAGCTGGTGTCTGAATACTGTGATGTCATTTGTAGCGGGGTAGCCGAGCATTTTCTTTCTTAAATTATGACTATTACAAAAAGAGCCATGCTTTTCCAGCTGGTAAAAACAGCTCACCAGACACTTTCTCCCACTCTCCCATGACAGATTTGTGAAATGTTCCACTGTTTGGTGAGTGTTTGTCATGTTCTGAACATAAAGGATAGTTTAAAACAGCAATTAACCACCCAGGAGCAAAAATCAGCCTTCAAACTTGAAAGAAATAATGTTTTGACATTTATTGCGGTATGTATCGATATCGAACGATATGAATTTTGTTTATCGAGCAGCATTATCTTAGTACTGGTTAAAAAAAAAAAAGTAAATTAACATATTTGTTTGCATTTGTTTGAACACTGATATGTCATGAAATCGCTTTGTGGTTTTATGCCTGTATCTGTCACAGTGAACAAAATGGAAAAGCTGAAACTAAATGACTTTACTATAAGTAATTGGTGAAGACCAGGCATGTCAAACTGGGGATCTTCCAGGCCAAAGTACTGCAGAGATTAGTGTTTACACTCTGAATTCAGTTCTATAAATGGAATTCTCTCATTAAAGCGCTTCACTCGTGCAGGTTCAGGTTTCTTGGCAGATTACAAGCATCGACACAAAAGCATTCAAGTATCCCAATAATAAAAATAATTTACATTTGTATTTGTTCCCACATTTTTATCATATTAGGATGTTATTAGCATTTAAGACATCTCTCTCTACGCTTCACAGGAAGTTTTCTCTATAAGCCACTAGGCGTGGGCAAAACGGTGATGTTATTTGATATAGTCGATGATCAGTGGTGGACAAAGTACACAAATCATGTACTTGAGTTGAAGTAGAGATACCCAAGGTAAAATAATACTTCAGTAAAAGTAGAAGTCCTCCCTTTAGACCTCCACTTGAGTAAAAGTACAAAAGTATTTGCCTTCAAATGTACTTAAGTAAAAGTACTAAAAGATTAATTATGACTCTAATGTCCTATGATCATTTTTGTAACAAGACTCTTGCTTCATTTACTCATTTTAGGTGAGAATACTCCAGTGTCACTCTTGGTAAACCAATCTTTTAATAGAATGTCATTAATTAGTCTGACACTGATGTCTATTAAAATTATTATAAGCACAAAACACTGAAGGCAAACAATTTCCATTAGGATGAACCAAGTGGCTCTGAAATAACTTTTTGTGAACAAACAAAGTTTCGGTTTAAGCTTTATTGGCAACTTAGTTACAAGGTTAAGTTAAATAAAACCTTGTTTTAAACAAGGTTCACAAATGAGTTTTCCTATACTATATTGCATCTGTAGGTCTGTTCATAAACATAAACTAGGACTCGGAGGAAACGAATTACATTTACTTCGTTACTGTCCATCACTGGGCCAAAGGCTTTGCAAAGGGAAGGCAGCACCTCCTTGTGTTAAATTAAGGGCGGTGAGTTGGTGGAGTTTCTTTCATATTGATTTCACCCAAAAAGAAATACTCAGTCTCCCTGTCTCTCCTGCACATCAGCACCAGCCTGTTATTAGTATAAGAAACGGCTGAGCAGGAAGCTGTGTTTATTTAGAATAAAGAGCCAGGCGGACTGGGAGGAAACTGTCTGTCTGTTTTGTTGAAGGAGAATCGCAGGCAGGGTCGTCTACACGGCTATCGGGGGCTACATCTCTGCGCCATTCAAAGAGGGCATGAAGTTTCACAGACAGTGAGAATGATGATCAAAATGATCAATCCACAAAGAGACAGGAGTGGAACTCTGGCGCCAGTACAACAACCAAGACCCCAACGCGTTATGGCAGCCCCCTCCGGTTAACCCACTTTATCCTCCAAATATTACGACTTTTTTCTCAAAATACTATGACGTTTTTTTCTCTAAACATTATGACTTTATTCTTGCAATATTCCTATTTTTTTTCCTCTAAATATTATGACTTTTTTCTCTAAATATTACAACTTTATTCTCCAAGTCTACTATTTTTATTTTTATGAACAGTGGCCCTAAAACGCCGTTGTAGAACCGTATGCTTGCACTGGGTCTGTATGTCCAACAGGCCAAAACAAGCTCAAAACAAAGTGCGTGCTGTACCCTGATTGGTGTTCTTGCTTCGTGCTTCTTTCGTTTTGACAGATTTCGCATAATGTAGTGGAGTAAAAAGTAAGATATTTGACTTTGAAATGTAGTGAAGTGAAAGTACAAAGTCGCCCAAAATGGAAATACTTCAGTAAAGTACAGATACACGAAAAAACAGTACAGTAACGAATTACATTTACTTCATTACTGTCCACCACTGTCGATGATGGACGAGTAACCTGATGGCGATAGGTAAAAGCCGATAATCGCTGTTTTGGGAGAAGAACTGAGTGAATCAGAGAGGACAAGTTTATCATTGAACAGCTTGTAAAAATGTTAACAGTTAAGAAGGGTGCAGGCGGGCTCAAGCGGTATTCGGGTTTTTTCTGTTTGAGAGAGAGGGGGAAAAAGAGAGGTTTGTTAAGAAACTGTCTGTATTCGTTCTCTCTGCTAAGATCTGTAATGCTAGCTTTACCACACGGCCTCTCCCTCTACTGTATGTGAACAGAAAAATAATGAAATAAAAAAAATGCTAATGTGCTTTAGAAATTCAGCTTGCCTCTGATTTGCTGCAGTCAAAAAAAAAGAGCTAAAATGACTGGATGTTACTGAAGAGCAGCTAAGTGAACCTGTAGAGAAAGGTCTTTTGATCTGCATCTATGGCTGGTGTTCTCAGAAAAAAAGTAATAAATAATCTTAAATAAAAATAATACCTTGTACACACTTTTTTTCTGTGAAAACCCAGTTATAATGGGGCCTTTAAAAGTGATTTCACTGTCTCTGCTCTGTGTGAGTAAAATGTGCAGTATTTTCTGTGCAGCTTAATAGTCCCTGTGGTTAATTGAATTATAACAAACAGCTTGTTTTTAATGTGGAAAGCACGAACGCATGGCTTTCGAAATCATTTGCAGTCTGAGGTTTCTCCAGCAGGGAGCGCTGTTAGCACACAAGTCACAATGAATCCGCACCAGCTCATGAATGCCCTTGTTTGCAGTAAAGTTTATAATAACGAAAGAGTTGTTCTTAAACGATGTTGGGTTACTGAATCTTACATTATTTAATATGTGGTTTTATTAAAAAGCAGTTTAAATATTGCCCAGGCCTATAAACCACTCAAAGCTTCATGGAGTATAGTTGTCAGGTGGATTATGTCAGCATGTTCTTACATACTCATACATGTAACATGGCAGAAACTGGGTATTAATTACCATGTTTATGGTGTGAATCAGTCTATTGTTGAATTTATTGAATTATTAATAACCTAAATTCTTTATATTGTTAACTATTGTAAAATATTAGTTTGTGCTAACACTCATGAAGCACTTCATTAGGAACACCTCCTTGTTTCTGCACTCATTGTCCATATTATCAGCTCCACTTACCATATAGGAGCATGTTGTAGTTCTACAAGAGACTGTAGTCCATCAGTGTCTCTGCATACTTTGTTAGACCTTTTTCACACTAATGGTCAGGACCACCACAGAGCAGGTATTAGTTGAGTGGTGGATCATTCTCAGCACTGCAATAACACTGACATAGTGGTGGTGTGTTAGTGTGTGCTGCGCTGCCACGAATGGATCAGACCCAAGAGGGCTGCTGAAGATTTTAAACATTTCATTGTCACTGCTAGACTGAGAATAGTCCACCAACCAAAAATATCCAGCCAGCAGCGTGACCCCAGATAAAGGACTAAAGTATGACCAACACAAACTGTGTAGCAACAGATGAGCCATCATCTCTGACTTTACATCAACAAAGTAGGAGTGTCTAAGAGTGGATAGGGAAGGGGCACAGTGTTTAAAAACTACAGCAGCACTACTGTCTCATCCACTCTTATGAACACAACACACACACAGCACCACCACGTCAGTGTCACTGTGGTGCTGAGAGTGATCCATCAACCAAATAATACCTGCTCTGTGGTGGTCCTGACCATTGAAGAACAGGATGAAAGGGGGCTAACAAAGTATGCAAAGAAACTGGATTTAACCTTGATCATTACAAAAATTATTCCCATTTCTGCTTAGCTCATTTTCTATTGTATGGCTATACCTGAGACTAGTTTATGTTCACAGAAAAGAAATTTGGTTCTGAACAACTGAAAAAATGAACTGCCCTCCCTTTCTATCCAGGTCACTTGACTGATGACCACCTAGTAGAGTTCCTGAGGCGCTGTCAAGGCGCCCTACGTCCTGACGGCCTGATCGTGATAAAGGATAATGTAGCGTACGAGGGTGTGGTGCCTGATGAGGTTGACAGTAGTGTATGCAGAGACTTGCAGATACTGCACCACCTGGTGGCCAGAGCCGGACTCGTCATTGTCCACGAGGAACAACAGCAGAACTTTCCTGAAGAGATCTACCAGGTCCACACGTTAGCTCTTAGATAGGAGCCTTGTGAGTAAATGAGCCATTGTTTATGAGAAAGCAACTGTACGAACCATGTTAAGTCTGTACAAGATTGTTCCTTACTGCCAGTGTCATTGCAGTTTCTAATGATGCACAAGACTGGAAAAGGATCAATATGTGCCTGTGTCAAAGTGTGGGGGCTTTAAGCAAGGGGGAGCTTTTCAGATCTAGTTTGACTGAGTCTTTTGTGGACTGTTGCTGAGGGGTTGAAAGGTGTCAGGACTTAAGTTTGTCGTATTAGCCTCCAAGACGTCTAAACATCTTAAGCCTGTATTTTCTCATAAGGCGCTTTAAAGACAGCAGAAAAGCTTCATGGTGATGAATGTGTGATATTTAAGCCAGCCCAAGTATAGCCCGTGCTTGCACTGAACCGAGTTGTCTGGGTGGATGTTTGTGTATAACTTATTTAGAGACTTATGTATGCATGTAAGTGTTTACTATGAATGAGTGTGCAAAAATAAAATAAACAGCTTTGTAGAAATTATTGTTGAGCTGTGTCTTTATATTAATGGGGCTATTAAATCTTGGGGTTGTTTAATTCTAAGGGATAACAAGTCTGTTTTTGGTATATAAAAGTAACTGCTCAAAATAACCAATAAATTATACTTGCATGAAGTTATTTTATATGCTTCCCAAACATTGAGTAAGAAGATTTAATTTTCAGACAATTTCAGTTACAGGTTAATTCAAAGCTGATTTCAGTGTTGTTAGATTAGTGCAACTTGTGCATGTAAGTTTGAATTTGCACTACTTGGTCCTTTGGAAGTCCAGTTTTGAATTAGTAATAACAATATAAGTCTCATATAAAAAATGAAATACTCTACAAATAATAGGCCCTTTTTTGTGCTCTCCACCTTGGGCATCCTAATATGAACCAGGTTTGTTAATCATTATTATTATTAATTATTATTAATAATAATAATAATAATTATTATTATTATCATTATTATTTGGTCAAACAGAAGATGTATAGTCTGCATAGCATTATAGCACACCTTTAACTTAGTTCAATCTCCCTTTGCAACTGAAGGCCATGTTAAGAGTAAATATTAAGCAAGTGAGTAGAGGCTGATTAGGACCAGGTCTCGCTCTGTAAACGTCCAGCTTTCTCCATGGCGTCCAGCATTTCCTGAGCCTGGCTATCTGTCACACCTCCCTCCTGTTGGAAAACCTCCTTAAGTGCATCACATACTCCTGTAGGCATCTGCTTGGAGTTCCTGGGTACAAAGAAAGATGGTATGTACAGTACATTTACAGTGTAAATGATGCACATTTTTGCAGATTCTTTAAGATGTATTACATGTTTGGTATTTGAATTGTTAATGTCTTTTGGTACTTGTAAGTAGTTTCCAAATAATACAGTAAATGGCAGACGCTCAAAAAAGACAGAGGAACATATTGACAAAGTTGTTATTCCCTTAATATATTACTTATAATGTAATTAATAATACTAATGATAACATAGACTGAGATTAAAGACTCCCCATACAAGCGTGTAAAGACATTTAAAAATGGTTCAAAGCAATATCAGTGGTGTCCAAATTTAGTTTCTTTAGTTTAGCACTAACAAACACCAGTTGGTCAATTGTTTTCTGTAAACACATTCCCAAAAGTCTCTGAAACTGCATTCAGGGGTTTGTCAAGGTCGCACAGACTTGCCTATGTGGTTCAGGAAATGAACAAAAATTCACTGTGTAGCTGACTGCAGCAGGCAGTCAGCCACTTTAGACAACATCCGGTTGTCAAAAATGGCTGCTCGAAGAGTTTAGAAAACCTGGAAGCAGCTTGAGCAGCTCGAGAGAAGTTTTGGGGATGTATTTAAAGAATAGATTTGGGTGACCTGACTTCTAGAGTTTGTTACCAACACTAACCTCATAGCTAACTTAATAAGCAAAATATGGACACCAAATAAGTCTTAAGTTCCACTACAAGTGGAAAATTGTATACGTCATTTTTCACTCAACAATTTATTTAATTAATCAGGCATGTGTGGTAACAAAACTATCTAGAATGTTTTATCATTATGCACTGGCATCCTGAACTGGTGAAACCTTTCAAGCCATTCTTGGCGCACACCTACCCTGCTATGTAGAAGACTGCATTCTTGTTAGCAATCAGGTCCCATAATAGCTTAGCCTGCTCCTTTACTCTGTGCTGAACATAGATTTTGTCCTCCTAAAATTGACAAAAACATGTAAAAACAGAATCATGATAATGATTTATACAGTTTCTTCTTTTTATGCAAGGCATTACAAATGTAACAATAGCTAATCAATATTAAGATTAGTAATCTGTATACTCATTCCCCATGCATGCTCACAAACATGCGATTTCTGGTTCTTTAAACACAAATTACTTCTTTCATTTGCTAAAACATTACTGATTATATTACTTATTAATCTGCTTATTTGACCCCTGGGTCCTCAAATCTATACCTCCAATGATACGATAATGTGGTTTCCTAGGCTCTACTGACCTGGTCTCTTGAGAAGGCGGTAAACAGCGTCATGTGACCAGCCTGGATCTTTTCCTCCCACTCAGAGTGACAGTAGAAGTCTCTGGTCTCAGAGCGGCATCCAAAGAACAGCACATTAGCTGAAACAGAAAAGGATGCATTGGAAAGGAAACATATAACAAAGAGGTCAGGTTCTAAAATCTAATATGCTGAGCCACATTCAAAGCTGTTATACTCAAAATACACATATGGCTACACTCAGTGATTCCACTTTTAGGTTCTCAGCTCTTCTTTTTGGAACCGATTGGTCAGCACAGTAAAAAGAACTTTGACATAGGCTACTTGTTCACTTTTTTAAAAAACTATTTTCAACTATTTCTTCTATTGAAAACCACAGAAAAAAGGTGCTGTGGTTCACAAAAAAACAAGTCCAGGTGTGACCCCAATCAACGAACCAAGCACCATTCAACAACCCACACCAGCATGTTTATTAGTAAGCTGTGCAACATGGATACTGGCATTTTTTCTTCACTGAAATTTAGTTCAAAACATCATGAGAATACCAAATCGTGAATACGGTTTTGAGCCTCGAATCATGGGCCAAATGTATCGGTACACTTTTGGTTATTACTCTACTGTAAGAGGTCCAGCTAGTAAACAACACACTGTAATACTCATCAAGATCACAAAATATAATTGTTAAATAGAACTGGGCGATATGGCCAAAAATGTTACCACGATAAACAAAATTCATATCAGTAAATATTGATACATATCGCAATAAATGTCAAATCATTATTTCATTATTTAAATCATCAAACCCACACTGCTGAAGGACAAGCTGGAGTGCACGGGCCTGGACCATCACCTCACCACCTGGATCCTGGACTACCTCACTAACCGACCGCAATATGTGAGGACCCAGGGCTGTCTGTCGGACACGGTGGTCTGCAGCACAGGTGCTCCACAGGGAACTGTCCCCGCTCCCTTTCTCTTCACCCTCTACACTGCGGACTTCAAGTACAGCTCTGCCAGTTGTCACCTGCAAAAGTTCTCTGACGACTGGGCTATCGTCGGCCTCATCACAGACGGAGATGACAGGGAGTACAGAGAACTGACTCAGGACTTTGTGGAATGGTGCCAGAGGAACTGCCTGCAGATCAACGCAGGAAAAACCAAGGAGCTGGTGGTGGACTTCCGCAAGTCCAAACATTCTCCTCCAGTGCCTGTGAACATCCAGGGAATTGACATTGAGATTGTGAAGTCCTATAAGTACCTGGGTGTTCACCTCAACAACAAGCTGGACTGGACTGACAACACAGCTGCCCTCTACAGGAAAGGCCAGAGCAGGCTACATCTCCTGAGGAGACTCAGGTCCTTTGGCGTGCAGGGGGCACTTCTCAGGACCTTCTTCGACGCTGTGGTGGCATCAGCCATTTTTTATGGAGTGGTGTGCTGGGGTAGCAGCATCTCCATTGCTGACAGGAAGAGACTGAATAAGATCATCAGGAAGTCCAGCTCTGTCCTGGGATGTCCTCTTGACCCAGTGGAGGTGGTGGGGGACAGGAGAATGAGGACTAAACTAACAAACATGCTGAAGAACCTGTTCCACCCCATGCACCGCTCTCTGACAGCACTGAGCAGCTCCTTCAGTGCCCGGCTGCGGCACCCGCGGTGCGTGAAGGAGAGATACCGCAGGTCCTTCCTCCCAGCCGCTGTCAGACTCTATAACAGTCACGGCACTCAGTAGACAGTAGTTTACAATTACTTTCCATGTGCAAGAACTCTCAACATCACTGCCGTAGCACTTTACTGTGTGCAATATCTCAATCCACCATGCGTAGTATATTCACTGCGGATCACTGTCAATATGTTTACCACCATTATGTGCAATTATGTCAAGTGCAATATTTCTCCATTTATTATTGTTTATTTATTTGCCATTTTATTCACTGTGCAATACTCACTACAATACATACATTTCTACATTTCTAAATTTAAATTTAATACTTTGTATATTTTTCTTGTAATTTTTGTACATATACATATATCTTTATATTTTTATTGTTTATTCTATTTTATATATTGTTTGTATATTTCCTGCTGCTCTGTCTTCTGTGCTGCTGTAACACCGCAAATTTCCCCGTTGTGGGATTAATAAAGGATTATCTTATCTTATCTTATCTTATCTTTCAAGTTTGAAGGCTGATTTTTGCTCCTGAGTGGTTAATTGCTGTTTTAAACTATCCTTTGTGGTCAGAACATGACAAACACTTGCCAAACAGTGTAACATTTTACAAATCTGTCTTGGGACAGTGGGAGAGAGTTTCTGGTTAGCTTTCGCCAACTGGTAAAGCACGGCCACAATTTTTTTAGTAGTCATAATTTAAGAAAGAAAACAATTTATTTTTAGCTGTCTGGTAACGAGTGCTAGGATATCTCATTACAAATGCTAAACAAATGGCCATCAACAGTGCTAAACTGTTTAGTTTCTCAACAACGTCAGCTTAGTACGAACAGCAAACGTTAGCTGGCTTGGTAGGTCAGTGATGGATCACACCACCTTACTGCCATCACTCCTACCACATCCGTGTCAGAGTATATCACAGTATTCAAACACCAGCTAGCAGACGTCTGGATTTCTCTATAGTAGTTTGAGGGGACCAGACAAACAAAGTCCTCTTTTTAGGTATGTTTAAACTGAAATCGGTGCTTTTGTGTCTTGTTTGATGTACAGTAACATCAATTCGCCATGTTGTGCGAGTGACGGAGTGCTGCTTCAAGTTAGCCAGCTGCTAAAACAGCTAGCCTGGAAAGATAGCGTTCTCCCACTCACCAATGGCACCTCAGTTTACTTTCATTTAAATCAGGGCTGTGATTTGCATGAACCCACTTCTTTCGTTCACTTTTGTTGCTTGGGAATGCACTAACACAAATATGACTTTTTGAGCGCTGTAACAGCGCTTTAGTTGTGAGGAGCAGACGTGATTCAACGCTGCTAAAGCTTGTTAGGATGTTAGGAAAAAGGTGAGTTTACTCTAAGCCAGTACGGTTACGCCACTTATCTCGTCACTCGTACTTGGTCACAGGAGAACACATCGCCGATCGCTCCACTCAAACAGGGAATATATAACTCCACATTTCAGACGTTGCTGAAGTATATTTGGCGACTCATTTTACTCGTCGCCTCCTCCCTCTCTAATCACGTCAAAAGGGTAGTGTCACTTTCCTTGCAGTAGAAAACGCCACCAAAGCTGTCACTAGAACGTGGAAGTGTGAGAATGGTGTATTATATCGAAAATGTATCGAACATTTCTGAAAGTCCTATCGAGGAAAGTTAAATCTCAATAAGTATCGTTAACGTTTTAATCACCCAGCCCTATTGTTAAAATAAACCAACATTTTCCTGCTGGCTATTTCCTCCACCATCACTTCTAGTTCTTGTTTGCTAAATTGTTTTGAGCATTTAGTTTGATTTTATCTTTATACTGCTGTTTTGAGTGTTGATTAAACTGAATAACTGTTTAATGGAAATAAAGTATAATTTCTGGTAATACGTAGAATGTAATGTGATATTGATAGGCAACAAGACAAATAACCTATAGCCTACATATGAACACATACGATTTTCTTAAAAATATGACAATATTTTAGAAGTTCTTAAGTTTTACAGGAACTGCATTTTAGAACATTGGACCTCGTATACCAATTGTTCAGAAGAACAGAACCTTCACACACTCAAGAGCATAAACAATTCTGCGTTTTAAAAACGCGTCATGAGTCTGATGTAAACTTTTTCTTAGGACCTTTCTCAATTATTAAATTTAAGTTAAATACTGAAAGATAAGAAACCTGTGTACGCATACCTGAGTATATTTAATCTGTCTGAGTGTGTCCTATGAGTGTATAGCCTGTTTTACACTCGTACACCCATACAGTGGCAATATTTACAGCACGCATATACTTTACAAAATGCATATTTGCTCCCCTAGTTTTTACTTCTCAATGAAATCAAATTCAACATTCAATTGGGACAATTATCTGTTGTGTATTTGTGAACCATTTAGCTGCTGGTTGATTTTGCTTAGCATCAATTTTGATAGCCTGTTTAAATGTCAGCATGTAAAATTAGCACATTAGGTGCTGATTGAGGGAGTATTATCGACTAAACTAGGTGTTTCAATCTGAATCAGTAGAAGACTGTACAGGACATTGCTGTGATTACACAGAATAGCATGTCAGCATTTTGTGAAACAAAGCTTTTTTTATTTTTGAGAGTGTGAAAACAGGAAATTTATATTTACAACCGTAAGACCTAGACACTTGACAGCCATGATACACTCACCTGTTTTACCTTGAGCAATTCTCTCCTGTATGGCAGCCCTGAATGGAGCAACACCCGTCCCAGGCCCTACCATTATGGCTGGGGTTTCAAGGTCCTGGGGAAACCTCAGGCCACCTTTCTTCACCCATAATGGCACACAGACTTCATCTAAAGAAGACACAAGCCGTAGAATGACATTATATAAAGCAATGATTAGGCAAAAAGTCAAATTGGCTCAACTTCCACCTTACCTTAAACATAGTCATTCAGCCAAGACATTTTTGTCCTAGAGCTATGAGGCTAATGTAACTCAGAAGTATATAACCAAAAGTATAGACAAAATTGAAGCTTCAAGATGACTGTTCCTACTTGTTTTCAGCTATAAGATTTATGTCCATTTTTAGCTACATTAGCCTCATAAATGCTAAAAAAAAAGTAAACTTCAGACACTAAATAATCTGTGTATAACACTGAGGGCAGCTTGCATAAGTTCCTATTTCTGAGATACTATACCCTGAGAGGGGTCCAAAGATGCCAGCCAGGAGGAGCACAGGCCTTTACGTGGCTTATGAAGTCTGGTTTTATACCTCACCACAGCCACCAGGATCTGAAGCTGGTTAGGGTGTGCCTGCAGAACACGTTTAGATGGGGGGGGTCTTTTAGAAATATTAAAGGAATATTCCAGATTTTTTGCAACTTAATTTCTATTTGCCACATTTGTACATTGCACTTGTGACAGATAGATTCAAATCATTAATAACCACGGACAGTAATTTCAGTGCTATTCAATGTACTTAGCAAAGCACAGAAAACACAATGGCTCAAAATCTGCATACAAAAGAACACAGAATTCAAGCAGTTGCTTTAACGGCTTAAGCTGTAAAACTTAAAAATAAATCATATAATAATAATAATAATAATAATAAAGCAGAGGTATTTCTTTAAAACAAGCAAATATTTATTGTTTTGCACAGCAACTATTTTTGTAGGAACCATGTAAATGTACAGTTGACCATAAGTAAAATGTGTAAAAAAATGTAAAAAGAAGGGATTTACCAGTAGGGAAGATGCTATAGAGAAAGAACGAGGCTGAATTTCAGGGAATAAATCTAGCAAATAGTTCACACTGAGTTCAGCCGTCGTGTGAGGAAAGTCAGCCAGAACCTGGTGGGGAAAAAAAAAGTTAATTTTGGGGAATTCATTTTTTCTGTTTTAATTTTATCATCTTTCAAGTTTTCAAAACATATCTGCTACTTTCAACATGCTAGCATTTTCAAAACTGTCTTTAACAGAAAACTTGTGTTTGTTGCTACTGTGCTCAAAATTAAATATCTTGACTAGGACATCAACAACCTACTAATTATGAGCTACTATTTGAAATTAAATACAAGTATTTCAGCATAGTGCAATGTGCTGCATAGAATGCAGTGATTCTAACTCTTCCCCAGCTCTTCCTGTCTAGCTAACACTATTGGCCTCCAGAGGACGCTCACCTCCAAGGCTGTGCGGCGGGGTCTGTTGCAGTAACCGTGTAGCTCATCCTGACCTAGTGCCGAACTGAACTCAGCCAGTTTTCCTCGCTCCAGCTCGTTTGTGGCGAACGTGGCAAGCAGCTCAAAGAAAGAGCGGCGTGGAACTGCAGCAATGTCCAAAAATTGCTCTACTAGATACCTGACTGAACAGGGCTGAGGCAGGCGCATAGGAACTGGAGCTGAGAGAAACAAGGCAAAAAAAAAGTTACACACTTTACTGCTTTACACTATTCTGTTGGCTACCAATTAGTTACACAATCGCACAGATTATAGACACGTACACATACCTGTGCTGCCATCAGTAGGGGTAAGTATGAAGTAGCGGGCAGGGTCCAGTCTCAGTAGCCGGCAAAACTGCTCCACGTCTTCTTTGGAATTGCATGGCCTCATCATCACAACATCGCCTGCGCTGTACCTGTCCGACATGTTATATCTATAAAATGCTATTTTTTTAATCATCTACTAGGAAACAATCATGCATAGTTAGATTACATAGTTTAATAGTGTATGGCAACAAAATACATATTGGAGTCGGCCAAAATGTTTTACAAACACACTTATACACACAGTAGGGACTTTTTTCCCTACATCTGCCACTTACTGGATGTTCGAGTCTGTGATGTCAAACTCAATAAGCCTTACATCCTGGAAATGAGAAGGGTCTGTTACTCTTTCATTAGACACCATTTTTGCAGGGAAAGGGTGCATTGAAGAGGGCAGGGCCTGATCATCAGGTGGGAGGAGTTTCATGAGCTTCTCTGTTACATCATCCAAGAATTGGAAAACATAGCGAGGAGGAAGCCTACAGAAAATACAAACAGTCAAATGGTCAAATTCTGTCCTTTAATTACACCATTCTGTACAAAAACAAGCAAACAGGACAGTACAGTGCGATGTCACAAACATTAACATACAAACATATGACCGCCTAAACAGCAGTTTAGCCAAGTCATTTATGCTGAATTTCAGTTTGAACTTAACAGTTTGTTCTACACATTTTGGTCCAGGAGAGTTTTTATATGAGGCACAATAGACCTCTGTAGTCATGTTGTCATTTTGTAGTTGGCGCCTATCTCATGCCCATATTAGGAACTCTGGGTCTAAACTCGATTTCCCTATGGCCAGAATGAATAGGGTTTTCGAAAAATCGCCTCTATCGCACCCTGTGGTAGATAAAAATGTTCAGAACACGATACGTTTTGTCCTATGAACATTCTTCTTTTGATTGTCACTAAATTACTATTAATTACTTACTTATAATTGATTTATTACTCTGAATTATGAGGTTAGAGTTGAAATATGAATATTGCTACATGTAACCTAATGCTACTGCGCACTAAATTAACATCATTAGACTGACAGACTTCTTAAAAACTGTGCAAACCAGCACGCTTTGCCAGTGTATTTGCATGTACAGTCTGAGGGCAAATGAAAATAAGTCAGAACAAAAGATGCAGGTTTCCATGCAGTTCTCTGTTCTTTATCTGATACTCACTGAAACACAACAGATCTTTCCATTCTACACACTGCTTGATTTGAAAAGCTCTACAAACTTACCTTCACTCAGGCTAATTCAGGACAGACTTAATATCACTACTTTCCCCTGATGAGCTGATTTAGGCTATCAAAATATCCTACTTATTATTTTAATGCTGGTAACATATTTCTAAGGACATTTTCTCAGGACATTTGCCAGCTTCTTGTTTGAAGTTTTCTGTTCTACCTTAAATAGTGCAGCAGTTACATTCTGAACTGCTGTGTCATTTAAGGTGGAACAGGAAAATTCGAACCAGCAGCTAGTGGAAAATGGAGAATTGAACAGCATAATATGAGCAGGTTGCTCTATTTCTGCTTGACAGCTGAGTAACATTAACTTTTTTCTGCGGTTTCACAGAACCAACAAGTCATTATTGTTTTGTCCCATTTGCTAATGTTTGTGATAGCTTATCACAACTGCTGCACCATTTAAGGTAGAACGAGAAAACTCAAACAAGAAGCTGGCAAAAAAGAAGCTAAATTCAGACCTGCAGTTTTAACACTGGTAGTATTTTTTGATAAGACGTTTAAGGCTGTCAAAATGTCCTACCCAGAGGTTTTATTTACGGGCATATATATAAAAATGTGGTATGGGAGAACATTTCGATAAGGTAGCACAACTCGCCAGAACACCGCCACAGCCCACCTTAAGGCCTCAGCATACTTCTTGTGAAACGAAATTCTCGAGGGTTGTGCGAAGCCGAAAGCGCCTTCGCGAGCTTACAAGCTTGTATACTTTCTGCAGAAAATGATTCTTTCTAGTTCTTTCTATTTCTAACTATGGCGATGTTTGAGTTCAGAATACTGCCACCATTTAAGGTGGAATGGGGAAATTCAAACAAGAAGCTGGTGAATAGAAAGCCAACTTCAGCCTCGTCCTCTTGTGAACCTAAATATAAGATGACTTTTATGTTGGTGCTTAGCACTAGTTAGTACTACCGAATAACAGACTTAACATCTTACATTTAGGAGATATTCATTGTTTATTTAACAAATGCATGTTTCTCAGTGAAATATTAGTGTATCTGCCAAAGCCAAAGCTCCTCAAAATTGTCTATCTTTGTTTCATGGCATGCCTTTTTTTTACTGACCAATCACAGGCCCTGTCACTTAGTGTCTTCGTCCGCAGAGTTCGCCCAGCTGCCATGTGCGCGGCATGGCGAGCAAAGCCTCCGCGCGACGTCTGCGGTTTTCTCCGCAATTACGTCATATTGTTCGCTGAAGCCAGGCGAACGTTGTCTCCACAGGAATTATGCTGAGGTCTTTACATCAGTTTAGCATAGTGACATCATACTGATGCGCAGCAGCTTTAGCTTGCATGTGGCAATATTAGTATTAAAGCTCTTTACAACCTCATAATTCAGAGGCTCCAGTGCTAAAGAGCTGACTTGAAACATGGCACTGTCAGAATGCCACCTTTACCAAAAGTCAGCTCATGAAATTTCTGCCCTGCTAGATCTGCAACTGTACAGGCAACTGTAAGTGATATTACTGTGAAATGAAAGAATGAAATGGAGCAACAACAGCTAAGCTACAAAGCAGTAAAGAATGTGTCCAAAACTGAATGGCAAAGGCTGTGTCTGATGCCTTGCTGCCTGTGCTGTCCTGCAACCAAATCATGTTTCACAAGCACTTTGAAGGCAACAATACATCATGTCGTTGTCATACTGACAGCTCACTGCTAGCTGTTAGCATTAGACGGCATCTTTTACTCAGGAAAAAAAATGTTTTAAGAAGGCTAGCATGCTGAACTTTTTATAACCAAAATAAAAAAATACTATATTTGTACACAAAGCGGTCTCTGTTCTCCACTGTGTCAGTGCTGGTGTTCTACTATTTCTTCCTAACTGCACAGAGACTTGCATTAGAGCATTAGGGAGACTCACGGATCTTCCTCACGGAGTGGGCTTAGTCCAGCTGGTGGAGGATACATAGGCAGAACTTTCTGCCAGAATGAAATTAACCAGGGATCAATCACTCCATCTGGCCTAAAGATATGAAACAAATCATACATAAATATTACAGAGTATGTTACAAGGATAATCAGTTCTGTAGGAGCGCCAGAGTCCAGCACGATTCGGTGAATCTGGAGGCTGGCCCTCCAGAAGCAGACCTGAGGTACCCTGTTGTACAGTACGTCACTAACTGACACAGACACCAACAAACAGACAAGAAGAATATTACTATTTCCAGGCTTGTCATGCAGCTTAACAAAAATTACTCGTGTATATTGTCTGTATAATTCTGAATGTATGCATAAGCACTAACTTCTGTTTCTGACAGTATCTTTCCTTCATAGTATCTTTAGACTCCAGCATATTTGTACAAGCCAAAGGGTATGTTTTCCAAGAATATAGCAAAGAATTTCTGCAAGCCATTCTGTATAGGAGCATTTGACAAATAAAATAAATGCAATAGAGATGTAGTACCACCTACATGGAATAACCATTGTATATTAAGTGTATACAACTAAAATTGACACTATTCCAATTATAATAATAAATAATATAATATATAATTAGAATATAAATAATATTAACCAATAATATTATATTCTATCTCCCACCAGCCCCACCGATCACTGAAAAAAGCTGTGTTGATCTTGGAAATACACCACCAGGAAAATCAAATTTCTGATTCACGTTGATAAAACCCTTCGACTATATAGTCCAGTAGATCTAGAACAATCTTTCCCAGCTACTTTTCCAGATAACTTTTTCAGTCATTGGGCAGGTAAAGCACTAATCTCTGACCAGTATTCAAGGGTAGGCTTTGCTGGTACCCAAGATTCTTACCCCAGATCATGCTGATCGTCAGCCAGGCCAACAGGGAGCAGGGCATTAGCACCAAGCTGCAGCAAACGCTTATAGAGCTTCTTAGCAACAAAGTTGAACCTAGAAAGTGACAGGCATCAGAACTAGCATTCTACAAATCAGGCTTCATAGTAATGCATTCATTCAGAAAGACTGGGTATGTAATAACAACTTTAACACAACAAAAGCACAAAGTAACAACTGTGTCCTACCCTCATTCCTTTTCTAAAATGTGTCCTAGTATATGCAATTAGGTCTCTAAAATAATATTCTCCCAGACCATAAGGCAATTGAAATGCTGAAGAGTAAGCAAATTTTAGAAAACCTTTGAATAGGCTAATAGTGAGATTAATACTAGGTAAAATCCTACTTAGGATAAGAGGAGTCCCCCAGGCCAAGCACTGCACAATCCAAGCGACAAAGGGAACCTGCAGGCAACGACTTCCTGAACAGAAACTTCCAGAAATTCTGCAGGACAAAGATAGACTTCAAGAGACCATATTCTACATTTTCCATGTACAAAAACTGCAAAAAAAAATATTTGAAACTACACTGGAACAGTATTTGAAGTGCAATTAAAAACAGAAATCCGTGATTTGTAAATCCACTCTGGCTTGTATTTAAATGAAAACAATAACAAAAACAATTTAATATTTTATCTTAACAACGTAATTGTATGCTCATTCAGAAATTGATGCCTGAAATACATTCAGGCATCATAATCGGGACAGGAACAACTTAAAACTAGGAACATTGTTAAACATTCAAAAAACAAACAGGTTATGCATTCATGGTTGGGCATAAAAGGAGCAATTAGGAAAGACCTAGTATTTAATAAACAAAAATAGGACAACTCCCAGGCCCTTTTGCCTGGGGTGGCCAAGGTGGGACACTGAGCTAATGTGGCAAAACTTAATAAATGACATGTGATCCAAATGTGTAAATAGTTTGACACACTGCATGATTCAACCTGCTAAAATAAGTCAAACGTCTCCTAATGGAGAATATACATATGTTTGTTTGTGTACTAGCTGTCATGTTTGTAGTGGTTTTACACATATAGTACAGTACAAAATTAAAGTTTTTTTAAACCTGTGGTTCCTTCATGCTACACTAAGGTTTGGGGAATTGGAACCTCTCTGGTGGAAATATGTAATTGCATGCACCACACAGAAGGACTTTTGTAATGTTGGTTGTGCTTTGGATCCCCCCCAGCAGTGAAGGATTTGTCTTCCAAGTATCTAAGCAAATTATCTTCTATGGTCATCACATCTGCATGAATACAATATTGATTTTGCATTTGAGACCTAAACATCAAGCCAGACCTTCTTTCTGAGATCATGACTCTTAAATTACTAAATCTGGCAAAACAGGCTGACTCTCAGCAGTGCACACACACACCATATTTTTGTTTTTTTTCCTGACTCAGTAATGCTGCTTCTTTCAATCTTACATAGTGCAGCTTTAAATGCGCATTTTCAATCAGCAACGATAACCTTGAATCTAACAGCCATTTTCGTAAAGTAAAGTAAAGCTCCTCTTTATATTACAGGTATATTAACATTAATCTGATCTTTAACATGAAGTATGCTTAGCAAAATGATAATGTTACAAAGTCTTCTATGAAACATGCACTCATATGATCACAGTGACAATTGCCTGAGAGTCTCTTGGGTTATGCCTTTCACAGTGGCAAAGAACCGCCTACTATGACAGGAATTGGCTATGAGTGACATGCAAATTGACCAACCACAACCACAATAGTGTTTTAATATGACTTGCAGGGGCAGGCAATTACCAAAACTGTCCTTCAGCAAAAACATGCAAGGGTATCTTGTTTACTTGCTACTACAGCTTCGGGCTGCAATAATCACTGCAACACTGCAATGACAATATTCCGTCTGCGGTGATGGGCACATTAACGGCATTCACACATATCACAGCATACACACATATCACACATATCACATATTTTTGATAATCATCTGGCATACGCACCCCTATGACAATAAGTAAAGACGTTCTGTGACAGACTGATGCAAGATGCTCCACATTTTCATTTTTTTTTTGGGTTTTATAAATTGTGTAGAGTACTGCTGTAGGCTGATTAAGTGAAAATATAGATAACTGTGATCTCACAACCATGCACTGTTTGGACTGCTGAGTGGATGGGACTTAGTCAATCAAACTGTAAACTATTAAAAATACAACATTTACAAAATACAACACTGATATTGGCATAGTTGAAGGCAACTGCAGCAATTTGGGCACATCAGCACTGAGTGCTACAGGAGGTTATCTATTGTTCGTTATATACTTTCTTACCTTCATGTTGTCTGGAGGGTCACCTTGCCCTGTAGTAGCACAAACAAACACCACGAGAGACTCGGATATCAGGTTTGCCTGAAATACATGTACATAGGCATGAGCATCTACCTCAGTTTACACTAAAAATACTTACTATTCAGTACAAGCAACAAAGCAACAATCAATATGCATTTGTGCTTTAAAGACAGATACATGCCTTTACATTTTGCACTGTTCTTCAAGCCAAAGTTTGGCAAAAAAAAAAAAATCTAACCTGTTCAATTTTCCCCTTACCACAAATGATCATCAGCCAAGTCCAGTTTGAGACGCAAGCTGCGCCCTGTTACCACTATGTGTGGGGTGTACACTGAGTGCCCATTACTACGTGGGTTACTTGTTTTGTTATTAGAATTTCTGTGTAGTAAATAAAGTGTTTTCCACTTTTTGGAAAGAAGAGAGGCTTGATTATTTCCCTTCACCGACCACACTATTTTGTTGGATCTTCCAAACACTCCAGATATTTTGTTTGACCAGATTGGTATCGTTTTCTATAATATAAAATGGTGATGAATGCTGCAAAACTGTTAAGTGCAGTTAGGGATGCACCAATATAGGAGTTCTGGAGTGATGACGATATCTGATATTTTTATGTATGCATCGACCAATGACAAAACAGATACATAAAAATTTATAAAACATAGAAATTGGGACCAAATCCACCTGAATTAGCATTACAGAGGAACTTTACATTTATTTTTAAAGGGTTAAAAAATGCACTGAAAAAAAATTACATGCAGACACTTTAGCACGGTAGCCTAAACATTCTGCTCTTCTGGAGAACAATAAATACATCATCAAATATCAGTGTAAAATATTGGACATACCTAAACATCTGCCGATACTGATAAGAATCCAATACTGTTGTGCATCCCTAATAGCAGCCGTCTTGAAGCCTGAATTTTGTCTGTATTTTCACTCAGTTTCACACTTCACACTATGACAGGGTCAGAAACCACATAAGCAAGATAACATAACAACTCGACTCAGTTTGAGGCGCTAATAATCTTCCATTACTTATCAGCTATATCAGCCTTGTAACTCTTACTTAAGAAGCACCAAACATGTCTTAGCTGACTGAATACATCTGGGATCAGAGGAAAATTGTGTGCATTAGATTTTTTGCCAAACTACCACCTTAGGGTCATGACATATACCAACCACATTGTAACTGTCCAGAGCTTGCACTCGGACTCCAATCCGCCTCCTCTGGGCCTGCCGCCCAAGTCTCTCGGCTGTGTCCTGGGCCGTGCCTGTCTGACTCCCATATAAAACCAGAAGCATATGGGTTGCCATTCTGTCACACAGCTCTGTAATTAGAGGAACTGATTAAACATGCGATCAGTTTACTAAATGATAGTAAATAGTATATATATATATATATATATATATATATATATATATATACACACACACTATTATATCAGCACTGATATAAAACACTGTAAAGACATAGTAATTCAGAGATATTGAAAATACATAGGTGCATTCAACTGATGCAAAATTGGCAGACTATTACCACCTCAGCTAAAGAAGACTGCATAAAGGCACATATATAACCACTCTTTGCAAAACACACATCTTAATTGTGGCAAAGAAAGCAACAGCAAAAGTTTAGGGTATAACAAAGTGCTAAAATGGCTTTGAAATTCTCTGAGGAATTAGTGTGGGCAATAATGAATCAGCAAACATTTCCAGTAAAAAGGAAAAAGACAAGCTATAAGTTCTCTGTCCAAACAAGGCCACATATGTAGAATCAAAAGCATGTTCTGTCTGAATTTAGGGCTGTCACGACACCAGAAGTGCAAAATGTGCAATAACACTAAGAAAAAAAGTAAGACTTTCCAAATATTTATTGTATTAAGCAAAGAAAAATAGTAAAATTGTTAAAGCTTAATTAACATCTGATTTTTTAGACTCTTTATCAATATCAAAATATTCAAATGTTAAATATATCAAATAAGTAGCTAGACATTTTAAACATTACCTCATTCAATAGGTTCTGAAGGGAGATAAAAGATAAAGAAATATACCAACCTAACATTCAACACACCGCGTTAAAAAAAGAACTATTCTTTATGTAGATTGCTTCTAGAAGCAGACGGAAATGTTAATAAATAAATGTCTTACGGATCCAGGCAAAAAAAGAAAAAAAAAAACAAAAAAAACTTTTATTTGCTACAGAACGATTGCATTATGTTGAGGTTCTTTAAACTAAAAAGGTTCTTCACACTCGCACATCTCACTTACATTTTTAAGAATGATTTATTGAAACATCTGGTGCTAGCTAAATAAATACAAAATGCAAATGTCGAAAATGTTTGTTTGCCACACTTCAGCACTAAAAGTACTGAACTTACGACGCACTGTGCAATCAAGTCCGAGTCCATTCATCTAAGAAATATGACTGATTTCAGCTAAAACTATATTAACAGCTCTAGCCCTCAGCATGCACACGCAGTGTACCTTTGCCAAATACCACCACAATTACGAAAACAGCATGGTTTAGGATAGTTAAAAAACAGCCTACCTTTTTCATAGACCAGCTCTCTCAGCAATTGGACTAGCTAAGCTAGCTAACCTACCGTTGAAAGAGTAACTACTGGAGTAAGATCACTGGGCTGCTACACACGAACATACAATTATGCTGCATGGTGTCTAAAAATGGAAAATACCAAATGTCCCAGTAGCAAGCTGAACTCGATCGGCCGACAAAGTCGTATTTACTACTGGTAAACTCGGAATTCTAACCTTAAAGAAAAACACGAGTTCACGAGATATGACGTATAACGCGACCTTTCACCTTTTACACGAGTGAAAAAAGCTAAACTTGCAGTGAGGTGTACATTTTAGTCACTACTAAGCTCAGTGTTAAAATTAGTTTGTGTGGTGCAACGCGTTTGGTTTAGTAATGCATAAACGTGAACTTTGTAAACAGTTACTTAGCTTACGTTATGACTAGTCTACGTTTGAACTTACGCAGAGCAGGTGCATCTGCCCATTGGTATTTAAACCTTCCGATGAGCTCCCGAAAGCAGACTTATACCATGACTGAGCATCCCTTAACTAACATACCGGGTACGTTCCAGTAATGTAACCCTGAGTTCGATATAGCACCCTACTCACTAGCCCTTATGCTGAATAATGGCTGACGCCCAAAAACCTCGGCTGTGATCAACGGCCATTTGCCTCGTAGTGTCCAAATCGTAAAATGAAATTCCAGAATGATTTTCAGCCTAGACATACAATCATAGCTGCCGCGTTGTCCGTTGTTCTCTATCTGAGGTGATACGTCTGCGCGTCCAAGATCGCTTGTAAACAAATACACGTGTTCTGAGATATGACGAGTTCTCATGATTAAATTTGCCGTAACTTCCTTATTACCCAACCAATTTTCACCAAGTTCAAAGACATAGATTAATCTAGGCTGCACGGACTGATCTCTGTAGCTTTTATTTCTGTTTAATAACAATGATGGTGCCGGGGCAGCAGGAGAGTATTCAGTCTGACGTTAACAACGGAGTAGAGCGCGAGCTCTGGTAGAAATCACACACATCTGCAGGTCCATAAAATGTGAGTCACTTCTAATCTTCATGCACATAGAAATGCAATTTACCCCTCAAACACAGAAGGACGAGGCTAAAATCGGCCTCCTATTCGCCAGTCTTCTGTTCGAATTTTCCCGTTCCACCTTAAACGGTGCAGCATTTACATTCTGGCGCCATTTAATGTGGAAGGGGAACATTAGAACAAGAAGCTGACTGTCTTTGTGTAAGAAGGTGCTACTCTTAATATCTATACAGCTTGAAGAATGCTGTACCTTACCAATAAGAGAATTAAGAGTATTTATAAATAAACTTGATTTATATACAATCATTGTAAAAAAAAAAATAATAATAATGTAACTACCACATTAAATTAAAACCCCGTATATAGACTATTAAAAGAAATACATTTAATACAAAACCAGATTAAAAACCATCAACGAGTTCTCTCTGCTTCACCAAACATGCTCATATCTACAAGAAAAAAACGAGTGTCAATGGCTGAGTTCTCCCCCATTATATAATCCTTTCCAGTTCTCTGAGGGCAATATCCTTGAAACAGAATAATTTTGGACATCACCTTTCTTAAAACTGCCTCTCCGTAATGGTACTGAGTGCAGTCGGGCAGTGATGTTTACCGGCCCAAAATGGCGGCGCCGTTGACGTGCCTGGCTGAACCCAATGCGGCATCCATGTGTGCATAGCCATGATTTTCAGGGCATTGCAAAAGTCCACAATACACCCAGAATTGCTAGTAAACACTAACTTATAGATCGCTTAATGAAGCCTATACCAATATGTATTGTGAGTCTTCTGTTAATGAACAACGGACAGAGCCATTGAAAACTAAACTTACTTTCTCGACCTTCTGACAGAACACAAAACAGCAGCACACTTTAAAAACAAAAAACCCTAATATATCTACTGCCTGCTGCTCATTAAAATCAGCAAAAACACTGCACGGTTGTTAAAGGTTACTGTAATCATGGGCCAAGAATTAAACATGTAGCGAGTCAAGTTTTGTGCTTTACTCAGTCCTTATCCCATGTACTTTTTAGGTTTTTTGTCAAATTTCATGCACTAGCTAAGCATTCGAGTAAGAAAATAAATACGCAGATTAGAGCGCCCCCGGGAAGAGGGATTTGGAATGCGCCCACGGCATCCGGCTTTCAATGCCGTTTTCCGGACCTGGAAGTGCTTGAACGATCTCGGCAGCTGTTTTTTTCCTTCTTTTTAAAAATGGCGACCGACAAAGGATATGTGTTTACAAGTGTTAAGTTATTTTTGGTGTTATTCTTTGTAGAAAGTCAGTGTCGGCTCCATCATCTCATACTTACGGTAAGTGCTAGTTAGAGTTAAATCCTTTAACGTTTGTTTGGCCGTAGCTATTGGCTGTTTGCCTGAGTAACGAACTGAGGAACACCGTTAGTTAGCTAACTTACAAAAACGCTGGCAGAGAATAAGATGTTAGGATAAATCTGTATTTTGCTATCAAAGCGTGACAGTTGTCTGTATGTACACACCAAACACCGATTAATTTACATTTGTGAACTAGCTAGTTAGCTAGCTAGCATAACGGCCCCTGTTACTAGCCCTTCGTAACAACTTCTTTCGTTTTCCGAGAGGTTAGTTAGATGTAATCTTCATGTAATGTTATGGCTGTGGAGTAAAACCTTTTTCAGATATTACTATAATATTTTCAGGATTCATAAATGATAACATTTTGATTGTTTACTGTCGTTTTCGAAAAACGACACTCACGAACGCTCTTGACAAGTTTCGATTTTCGGCAATATTGTAGCATCTGCTGTTTTATTTTTTCTCTGAATTATGGGTGATCGTAGAAACCAAACGCACATTCTACACTTAGGAAACTTATAAGCAGTCCTGTCTCATGGGGCTGTGGCTAAAGGCGCATGAGCTCCACTTGAGGAGTGCTGTTTTAGATACAAACGGGTTTGTACGGAAAAAAAGACTTTCGACGTTTACGATGCTAAGTCTGTTATACAGTAACTTTAGTAGTAGTGGTATCACCGCACACCTCACATTTAGGTTCATGGGTAGCTAAATCTCTCAGCATGTGGTTGTTTTACAGGAAGAGGGGAGAAGTGTCAATAGCAGGTGCCATGCAGTTAGATACACCATTCAGTAAATCATTACTAAGTAATACCTGGTCAGCAGGTTAGTAAGCTGGATGCCTTGGATAATGGCAAAAGGGACAGTGCCACTAAAACAGATTCTTTTGCCTCAGGATGATGTCCGTCAGAGGGTCCATCTCAACACGTTTGGCTTTTATAAAAATGGTTACATGAGTGTGAACTTGAATGCTCTCAGTGTGAGCGGGGCACCAAACAAGGATATTGACAGTTCTACGGTAAGGTTTCTCTTAAGTGTTTCAGCTTTCATAAACTGTTTTTAAGCTGCTTTTTGCAAATGATATTGTATGTAAGATCCAGGAGATCTATGTATCTGTAAGTATTTATAAGTATAGGTTCCGATCTATAAGTATTCTGAGGAAATTAGGAAATGCAAACTAAGGCAACACAATATGGACAAAACGCCATGTTGCAATTGTATTGCTATATGTTGTGATATGCCTTGCAATATGTTAAAACACATTTATGAAACCCTTATGACTTGACAAGATTGGTCTTCATTATTTTTTCCCTAAATTTACATTTGATAGATCACTTGAATGCCTTAATTCATCAACACCTACAAAACACTTCTCCAAAACTAATGAGTCTGAGGTGGATAAATAAATTAGATAAATAAATGAGATGCAAGGTACACAGGGGATAAAATATTGATATAGAAATCTTCCATATTATACAAGATATGGATAGAAGATGTACAAGATGTCAAACTATATGTGTAAGTATAGATTTGCTAGATTGAAGTTACAGTAACATCAGAGTAAGTTTGTTGATGTGGATGTGGTGTAGATTGTCCATGGAGATCAAGATGGTGATGATGACTCAGAGGTGACAGTGACAGTCCCATAGACCGATACACGGGGAAGAAACTGTCTCGGAACCTGCTGGTTCTGGACCTAATGCTTCTATACCTCCTCCTGCTCGGCAGCTACACCTACAAAACACTTCTCTATAACTAATAAGTATAGTCATAATGCTGAGGACACACAATAAAACATTTAGTGCTTGGTGATATTAATATTGTGAAGGCCAGTATCATAATATTGATGAACAAATTATATTCATCAATATTGTGCAGCCCTGCTGAGAGCCCAGTAATGATGTGATGGTAAGTGCCAGTCCTAGGCCTTTACATTTATCCGCAGCAAGTTATAATCTAAGGGAAATGTTGCAGGAGTCAGTTCCTTACAACTTGGGCTGTAACTAATGAACAACCTCTCTCTTTTGTTGTGGCTTGGCAACAGATTGGTTTCAGCCTGGACCGAACAAGCAGTAACGGCTTCTCTACTTATCTGGTAAAGGCATTCTCTGCAATGGCAGTCACTCTTAATTGTTTGATTATTGTTTGTTGTGCTGTTGGATGAAATCGAAGAACCTGTGTGGATGGCTTTAAGATGCATGCTTTGCAATTAGTTACATATCTTATTTGTTGTAACAAATCTACTGCACTTTCTTTAAGTAATAAGATGAAAGTAGATAGGAACTTAAAGCTCTTTCTGACTGAATCATGGCTTAGGGGACAGGGGACACTTCTTGATTTAAACAGACTAATAAAAAAAGAGTGCATTTACATGTACAATCAGACAATACACTTATTGTCTGATTGTCTGATTTTGGCAGTGACCAGATTATTCAAGTGGACATGTAAACGACATATTACCACATGTTGTTAGATCAGAGCCCTTATTGGATTTTAAGGAATCAAATCAAATCATGGTCACATCACATTGCACAAGTGTAAAGGTGAATATATGTATATATTAGACTCTAAATATACACAATATACACATTAATATATGCTTTCCAATGTACAGTTTTGTACAGTAATAAGGTATGAAATTACTTTCAGTACAGATTGATATAGAAACCTTCCAGATTACACAAGATTGATGATGGTGGTGATGATGATGACTCAGAGGTGTAGTGACAGTCCCATAGACTGATACACAGGGAAGAAACTATCTCGGAACCTGCTGATTCTGGACTTAACGCTTCTGTACCTCCTCCTGCTCGGCAACTATGAGAACAGACAGTGGCTTGGGTGGGTGGAGTCCTTCAGAATCCTACTGGTCTTCCTCATTCAGTGGCTGGTGTATAAATCCAGGAAGTTTGGGAACTGGACCCCAGTGATGTGCTGGGCTGTGTGCACCACCCTGGTGGTGATGGAACCTGTTAAAATGCTCTCCACAGTACAAGTGAAAAATGTTCTGAGGATGCGGAGGTTCATGCCAAACCTCCTCAGCCACCTGAGGTGGAAAATTCAATGTAGACACCCAGTTTAGCCAAGTAATTGGGCTTTTTTCATTGTGCATGTTTACTGTTAATTTTGTATCTTTTATTTTGCACATCTGCACATGTACACAAGCAGAGCCGAACAGATGGAAGAGCTACTCCAGAAGCAGTAAACATGCTCAAAAAAGGAAAACATTATGTCCAGTTTGCAGCCCATAATATAGTATAATTTTGAACATGTCAGTATATTCAAAGAGGACTTTTGAAACTTAGTGTTAAGTCTCTTATTGGGTAGTAATGTACGTTGACGGTTTTAGATACTAGATGGGGCAATAACCACTGCTAGTGATGCATCAGTTAAAACAAGACAGTTGTGTAATTATCTGTGGTTTGTTCTGCAGGATGACGGCCTAGATTACTGTGTTTTGAAAAAGTTGCCTAGCAGTGATTTTGCAGTGGTGCTTCTTTTGCTGGACTTCAGAAATAACCTGTAAGTTCACTGTTAACTGTTCTAGATGAACTCCAGCACTCCACATTTAAATGATAAATTCATTCGCCTTCAGCTTCCAAAACAGATACTGAAATAAATCCTTCATTTTTTCCTTTCCATCCTTCAATCTTTCAAAGAGTGAGGATGAAGACTTCTGCAGATGAGGGAATGTTCCCTCAAATCATTCCTGTGGTGCCAAAGGCTAAGAAGGATGAAAATGAGAAGAAACCTCAGTCTGATGGTACAGCTCTGTCGTTTCTGACTTCTGTCATCATCTTACTGAGTTTGCTTGACTTAATGTTGAAGCCATTTGTGTTCAGTTGATTCTATCCAGTATCTATCCAGATAAAGCTGCATTTAGATAATTATTTTAGATTTGTTTGTTCCCAATGGGCCTTATCTTTTTTGTTTGATTTTTAAACAACAAAAAAGATATGACACAACTTTTCCGTTATGATCTGAACAGTATTCGTATACAAATGCAGCCAACCTCCAGTGAAGGCTTCAGACCACATTATATTACTGTAGTAGAGGATGCATCAAGTCATTTACTAGTATGACTCCGCACTGTATATCATCTTTGCTCATAAACATCTTCTGTATCTTTGTCCTTTAAAGCTCTGAGTCAATCCAAACGGGACGTGACTGAGGTAGGAACATTTACTTTGGCTTCTGTTAACCTTATGGCCCTGGCTGTCTTTGGAGGCACATTTTTTTTTTGCTGGTTTTTGCGTCATTGGATTTTGCCAGTTTTGTGCTGAAATGTATTGATTTAATTCTCTTGCAGAACAAAGCAGACATCACTTATGCCCTGCAGCACAAAGGCAACTCCACTTACTCCTTTCAGGTTAGTGTGGTTTGTAGATTAACTTCAGAATACCATAAGAGGTGATTCAGTTAGCTGAACACAGTAATAAAGCACTTTTTATTTTAACAAATGTTTACTGTGATGTTTATTTGCTAATCCATGAATTTAGCCTCACTGTAAAACTCGGACATTTTTATCATTTCATGATGGAATATATTGGTAAGACTGCTGAAGGATGATTATTTGGAAACAATAAAGAAATGTGGTAGGGTTTGCATGTGTGAATCAAAGTGCCAGAGTGACATAATGAGATTGGTGGAAATGTGGCATTAGAAGTGCTTTCCTGTGCTGGGCTTGAGCACTTCTCTTCATGGAGTAGTGCAAATAACTGTTCAGCTAAATGGCCGTTTAGAAAACAAAACTCAGCTCAAAACCATATGTGTAATCTTGTGCCACACCCACAGTTAATTATATTGATATTGACGTTATTATTATGATAGATGATCATTTTTAAGTTTAGAAAACAAAGCACACATGGGTCACTACTATGCTCAAATTATTATAAAGTTTAGAACACTTTATTATTTCTATTGTTTTTAACAGTGGCAGTCCTGAAATAAGGACCCCCACTTCCCGCATCCCTGTGGCTGATCAACTGCAATTGGGGAATTGGGAAATTGTGTAAACTTGATTTTTCATCAAGCCATTCCTTTAACAGAAGTGTAGGCTACATACATATCAAACATTACAATATGAGCTCTAGAATCAAAAAAGAAGATGCATTAAAAAGTGTTTTATAATCACACCCTGGCACCCAATTGAAATCAAGTTGAAGCACGAGATGTCTAGAGATTCTCTCTCTCTCTCTCTCTCACACACAGACATACTCATTTGTCTTACTTTACTTGGGAGAACATCTGTTGATTTTTATTGATTTCTCTATTGCTATGACCAAGTAATACTTCCCCTAACTTTACCTCAGTATTAAAAATGCAATCTTAGTTTTATAATAATAATATGTCATTAAAAAAAACAAAAAAAAACACATGTTCAAGTGAGGACCTGGAAAATGACCTCACTTATGCAAAACTGTCATGTTCTGTCATTGTGATTCTCACAGTGATGGCAACAAACACAGACACCCAAACACATACACATTTGACGCAAGACATATGAACAGTACCCAGTAAAGCTGACAAAAAAGCTAGACCATGTTAAGAACAATTTTGCTCATTTTCAGTTTTACTTCAATGTAACAACGGACGCGCAGCAAGGCCTTTACAACTTCTACTTCCACAACTGCTACTCCTCTATGGCTGCAAATCAGGATGCCTCTTCAATGAGAATGCTTAGTTTCAGCATTGATGTAAGTGCCTTATTTTGTTCATTTTTATTTTAGTAAGTTAAGAATCAGACATGTTCAGAGAAAACAAAGAACAATTGTTAGCACTAGTAAATCCAACTGTTTTGTGTAGAGCTGCTACTATTACATTATTAGTAGTTCAATAATTTACCAGTTATATGGATGAAAAGTAATAATTTATTTATTTATTCATCCATTCATTCATTTATTTATAAAAGAGCAAAGACTAGAAATTAAATAGTATCAAAGTATACTCTCTCAAAGATTCAACTTTTTTTATTATTAAGATGAGCAAGGAAGCTTTTGGTGTCGAAGTGAATTATTATTGTAATACTATGATTGTATTCTTGTATCAGGGAGGATCTCTGAACTAGCTGAGTATTTTTTGCTTATTGATAGGTGGGAGTGGTGATAGGGGGAGGTGAAACTTGATATTGGTTAACATTACTTTTCCCTGTTTACTGATGCATGGATGTATAGGCAGAAGGCAATTTAAAGGCAGGCAAAAGTTTGTGTGGTGTTCATTTTAATGGAAGATTACAGGAAAAAAAAGGATTTTGAGTGATACGATATAAACGTGCTTAAAATGACCAGCGGTGGGAACTAAAAAAAAAAAATTGATCGTCAAGAGGGTAAATTTGAATCACTTATTCGTTATTTTTTTATTTGTCCTCCTTTCAGTTAAGTTTAATCATGTAATGTGTGAACACTGCCATGCTTTTGCTGTAAATGGGCAAATCTGTCTGGTTTCAGATCAAAATAGAAGAGAAGAATCCTGACAGCTTCCTGTCTGCTGGAGAGATTCCTCTGCCCAAACTCTACATCTGCATGTCTGTGTTTTTCTTCCTCATTGGTACAATCTGGGTAAACGTTCTACGCACACGCAGGTAGAGGAACAATGCACTTAATAATGTACTAGGGCTAAAAAAGTTAATCGTTTTTATATCGAACCATCACAATTTAAAGTACAATTTTCCAATCACAAGAACTGCATTTCTAATTATAGCCTATATCATCAAAGATATTGTCTTAAGTGGGTAAATTTAATCCAATGACATAGAGCTTATGAACTGCTTCTTGATGAGTTAGATTACTCTGAGGCAACCAAACAACCTTGTGCTGTGACATCACAACCACAACTAACTGGCTGGAAAAGTATGTAGTGTTCAAGTCTTAACTCAACCAGAAAAAGTAGATATTCTGGTCTGATAACAGGCCTAGACCTTAATTCATAGTAATGAGTCACAATTTCAGTTGCAGTTACAATAATAGTCAGAAAAATCGCAATTAAATGTTTTCTCCAAATTATTCTTCTCTACACAATACACTTTACACAAGTGAAAGGTTGTCACAAAAAAAAAACAACCAGTAGAGAGCAGCATATACACCATATTACATACTGCATTATGGCTGCACAATGTGTTATACAATATTGGCTTTTACAACACTGAAGTCACACAATTAATTTCAACTATGTAAAACAATCATTAAGAACGTCACATCAAAGGTTCACCAGTGTGTTTTTAATATATTGGATAAGGTGCACTGCAACCACAATATGGTATGATCTATATCGTGCTACGCTAATTTGGATTAGTGTTAGTAAGTTAAATCTATAGTGTAATATGCTCTCTTCTGCTCTTTCTGTTTTTCCTCTTTCTTTTTTCCTGTCTGTCTTTTCAGTGCTGATGTCTACAAAATCCACTGGCTCATGGCAGCTCTCCCATTCACCAAGTCTCTTTCCCTCATTTTCCATGCAGTGAGTTGACTTTTTGGGGCCTATATGTTTAATAGGTGCATAATGTTATGTTCAGTTTAAGTTATTATTTGAGAGTTTTATGTTGTCTGGAGTTGAGATTTTTTTATGCCATGTAACACATTAGTTTAATTGAAGAGCAATGGCTTATTTCACATCATTCAGTTAATACGATACCCTTTGTTTTACAGATTGACTACTACTACATCTCCAACCAGGGCTTTCCTATTGAAGGCTGGGCTGTGGTCTATTATATCACACACCTGTGAGTTTTTCCACTGCAGATGTAGCTATAAAGAAGTGCATGTAATTGTTACAAACTTTGCTTTTTGTGTACTCATGGTTTTCTCTGCTTTCTCTGCAGGCTGAAGGGGGCACTGTTGTTCATCACTATAGCTTTAATAGGTACTGGCTGGGCCTTTGTTAAACACATCCTCTCAGACAAGGACAAGAAGATCTTCATGATTGTCATCCCCCTACAGGTACTCACCCACGTTGCTGGCCTGCATTTTTCTGTTATCAAGAAGCATGTGGAGTACAATAAACACAAATGAAATGCAAAGAAAACTTAAGACAAGTCTTTTAAAAGTAATAATTTGACAGAAACCTAATTTACACATTTTTTTACCCTGAATGTACTTGATCAGTTCAAAGTTTTCTTCTTTAGTATTGCACTGGATATACAAGGCTAATGTAGCTAACAAATAATGGAAGCTTAAACCCTGCTGATTAGCAATTCACACACCACATACCTAATTCACCATTGAGTTGCAAAGCTAATTGGAAGAGTATACTTTGCCGCAGCACAAATAAAGCTTTGGACATCAAACCTGTCTTGGCAGACTAGGGTACAGGGAAAATCGTTTAAATGTGATGTTTGGGTGAACAGTCTCTTCAAAGAGTATTTAGGTTCATGTCTGTTCCATTTCTTGCTCTATTACTGAATCACGTGTAGCTTTGTTTCTATACTGATTTAAGAAAGCTGACTTTTGGTTCCAGGTGCTGGCAAACGTGGCATACATTATCATCGAGTCAACAGAGGAAGGTTCCAGTGAGTATGGCCTGTGGATGGAGATCCTGTTCTTGGTGGACCTGCTGTGCTGTGGAGCCATTCTCTTTCCCGTTGTGTGGTATGCAAATCCACTGCACTTGGAAGGTTCTAGATATTTTACAGGGCTTTGCTATGCAAACACATGGATCTGTTTAGAGCTCTGTGGTTATATTTAAATATTGATATAAGCATTGAAATATGGATGATTTAGCTTTGCATGAAATGAACATGTTCATGTTTCTGTGCAACTAGGAAAGTTCTGCTTTTGACTACTATTTTTGCTTTCAGGTCTATCAGGCATTTACAAGAGGCATCAGCAACTGATGGAAAAGGTAGGCTGAGTATTCCTTTACCTAATTGTTGCAGAAAAAATGTTCCAGTGATTTCTAATTTGTGTTGTAATGATTTTAATTATTACTTTAAAGGAACATTACTCTTTTAGACTACTAATAGAAGAATATATAGTTCTAATAGAAGAATATATTGCCCAAAATGGTAAGCTCACAGAAGAAGTTAAAAAAAAACCCAAAAAAACATTTGAGCTAATGCAAATTGTAAATTACTTTGCAGTATTTTATTTCAGGCAACTATGGGCTATTTCTGTTAATCTATAGAGTTAAATGTTGACACAACATAATGGGCACCTGGAGTTGTTTGTCAGCTGTAGTTGATAACTAAAAATCTAAAAATTCAGTGACAATCATTGATAGGACAGCAACAATATATATTGGTGGTTATCTGTGGATAAATGTAAGGCTCTTCAATGATTGTTCTGTAGCTTTAGTGACCTATGTCATGTCAGGTGCTACAAAGAGTACTGTGCCAGTTTTTCTACATTTAAACAGTAATTATTTTGTCAAATTACAAATGCAGATGTGGTTCCCTCGTACTGGCATGCTTACAAGAGGCATGATACAGTTACTTAGTGCAGTATCTGAACATTCTAAACAATGTATTGAAATTTAAAACTGTATCAGTGATGTGTTCCACAGTCTCTTCCAAGGGTCTGTCATTGACAGTCTTTTGTGGAAACCACAGTCAGTGACCAAAACTAGGCATCTGACTGCATCCTCTCTATTTTATATCAGTTTCACAAGATGGCTATTTTGTACATGCACATATTTTATTTAGGTATATTTTCTGAGCCAATCCATGTAATATGTAATCAGATATCTGTAGAATTGAGACATTTTAACATGAAAAAATCAAAACTTGATTTGAATTGTAACCTTGACCTTAGACTTGAAAATCACATTAAACCTGATAATGTATATCATTACACATTGACAAAATAACCTTTTAAATAACCTCCAATTGTTTACCTCGTAACATGCTGCTCCAATTATCTTGATTGTCTTTACATAAAGAGCTTTATAAACATTTGCCATTCACAAGTGTGTAGATCTCTTACATATTTACAGTATTCCAAAGTACCTCACATGAAAACTTTTTTGGGCACAAATAGTAGGAAATATTCTATCTAGGTCAAATGTGTTTTATTCTTTTTAAATTCCTTTATTGGTATTGCTTCATGACTCTGTCATGGTTGGCCGTCCTCTATAACCTATTCATAGGCTTTGGCTTTTACAGCAGGAAATGCTTTTGCTGCCTCTCTGTCTATTCCCAGCCATATTGCATTAGACTGCAGGTGAATGGAATCGTAAACCGATAGAAAAATCCAATCCCTTATCTGTCTGGAGGTCAAGTGTTGCCCCTAAATTAGTTATGATGGGAATGAAAATGTTAGTGATGCTTTTCAGTCATGTATGAAGTTGTTAAGCATTGCAGAGTTTTTGGAATCAGCCTTTGAGAATTAATTTCTTTAACCCGCAGTAAGTAATCATAGCAATATAAGTTTTCAGTTGCACTCAGAATGAAGCAGTAGTGTATTATTGCTGCAGGACTGGAGTACTGGATTGTGCAATTGCATGACCATAGATTTCAGAATTGATTATACATCTTCCCTACATACAGACTTGAAGCCAGTATTTTCTTTGTAGACCTCTGAGGACATGTCATTTTGTAATTTACAACACACCGACACAAGGTCTCTAAGTCTAAGCCCTTTTTTGTCGGTGTGGAAGTGCGGAACAGAACATATAGGCTTTGGAACTTGTCAGTTCAACAGAAACCATAGAAAGGTCAACAAAAACAGTGTTGATTATGGAATAAAGTTTCTGTGTAATTTACTTATAAATTAAAATACTTTGTAATGCTCATGTGATGCACATGATCATTCTGACAGATTACGATACACTGCAGGCAGTGTAGGGGGTGAAATCATGTTTATGATTGCAGTGCTTTGTTGGGGCAAAGTGAGAGAGAGTGACAGAGTGGGAGTTAACCCATCATTCAGTCATCCTCCCTTCCAACTAGACTTCAAGTCTGTAGCTGCTTCTGTTATTTTTGGGTTCAGATGTAACCTGAGAAAGGACAGTATCAGTTTGCTGGTCAAAACTTGGATGGTTTTTCTTGAAGAACATGACACCATAATAATGCTTTATCAACAGAGTTTTCACTGATTGTGATAAAAAAACATGAAACTTCAAGAATGGCAGATTTTACAGGCTGACTAATATATTGTTTGAGCCCTAAATATGCATCTGTAATTGTTGTATTATCTTCAAGTATAGCTTTCTATCACCATATTGCAACTAAATTCTGACTCATCTAAACTGTATAATGACCTTGATGGATTTGGGAATGGGAAAAAATGATCTTGTGCCAACAGTTGTGTAACTGAAAAGAGCTGGACCACCTTGCGCTGTTCCCCATGGAGACAGCAGATGCTGGACACACCATAAATGTCACAGCACAGAGAGAGTGGCCTGGGCTATGTCTTTATTGGAGCTGCAGATAGTGCCACAGATTTTACCATAGTATGGGGCCATGCAATATCCATTATGTGGAAAGAATGTTATCTCTTTCAAACACATGCATACATATGCATGCAAACAAAATCTCACCCTACCTCCAGGTAGCACAGTGGGGCTTGTTTTGTAGCAGGAGGCATTATCACTCTAATGGTACCAAAGCATTGCATATAAATCTGTATTAAAAGAATAGTTATGTTTATGCAACTTTTACCCCAAAAGTTGCAGTATTCGCTTCAGAATTCTACTTTAGGGCCCAGACACATGAAGCTGACAAGGAAGAACTAGCGCAAGCTAAGGCCGACTGATGGTCGGCTTCTGTTAGCGTACCATCACCTCTCATCTCCTGTGAAAATTTGCACCTAAATACACTGCAAAGACTAAAGCTGATGGCCGATACTTATGCTCCTGTCCAAAAGGAAGCAAATCTCTATAGCAGAAGATGGCACTGCTGTGTAAAACTGCAAAAAACTACTTGAAAGAAAATGTATGTACATTTAACAGTGAATTAAATGCACAATTGGCAGGATGTCAAAATGTTAAGTATCCCATGCTTTGTTATGTTGTAAGAGCAAAGCAGCTGCCTAGCACTGTGAAAATTAAAATAATTGACGTCCACAAAGGAGCATGCTGCCACTGGACTCTGGAGCAGAAGAAACGTATTCAGTGGAGTGACGAATCACGCTTTTCTATTTGGCAGTCTGATGGATGAGTCTGGGGTTGGTGAATGCCAGGAGAATGTTACCTGCCTGACTGCATTGTGCCAGTTGTAAAGTTTGGTGGAGGAGGGATAATAATATGGAGTTTTTTTTCAGGGGTCGGCTTTGGCCCCTTAGTTCCAGTGACAGGAAATCTTAATGCTTCAGCTTACCAAGACATTATGGAAAATTGTATGCTTCCAACTTCATGGGAACAGCTTGGGGAAGGTCCTTTTTTGTTCCATTATGACTGCGCCCCAGTAGACAAAGCAAGAAGAACTTAACTGACCTGCACAGAGCCCTGAACTCAACCCCGTCCAACACCTTTGGGATGAACTAGAATGGAGACTGTGAGCCAGGCCCTCTCATCAGAACATCAGTGTCTGACCTCACAAATGCTCGTCTGGATGAATGGGCAAAAAATCCTACAGACACACTGCAAAAATAAATCTTGTACAAACCTTCTCAAAAGAGTGGAAGCTGTTATAGCTGCAAAGGAGCAATTCCATAGTAATGGCTAAGGATTTAAAATAGGATGTCATAAAAGCTCCTGTAGATGTAATGTGTAGGTGTCCCAATACTTTTGTCAATATAGACTGTGTATGTAAAATAAATGAATTATGAGAAAGAAAAATGCACACAAAATTCAGTATTGCTAATTTATGGTGCAGCTGTAACAGCTGTGTCTTTTTTGTTGTTTCTGCAGTGCTGTTTAGCATGCAGCATGTCGCTTTCTTGCACCCCCCCCTTCCCCCCGACCCAAGGCTGGAGCTGTCCATTAATGGCCAGTGCGGCCTTCTCTCTGCAGTACCATGGAAGTTAATCTGACAAGTGTTGCGCCACGCACCTGAAGGCATTAAAAAAAAAAATCAGTATTATTTAGTGGTGTTTTTTTTCCTTTATACATAGTCTATATAGCACCAGGGCAGTGCCCAGTTTTGGTGCGTGCATGAATGAGGTGCAAGTGCAAGTGCAATGTGCAATGCAGTCTGTTATAAGTGCTTTCTTGTTGTTAGGGCTTCATCAGTATGTTAGTGTTGTTACAGAAGCAGCATTCTCATCGTGTAAGAGAGAGAGAGTAGTTATGTGTCGAAATAACACAGGTTATTCCCTAAGCCCAAATGTGTGTGTCTTATAAAAATTGGGAAAAAAAAACAAGAAGAAGGTAAAATCTTGGACAGAGTGATTTCTTGTTTAAATAACGCTTGTTTTTTCTCAGCTTTTTGTGTCTTCAAATGTCTTCACTCCCCAGGCTATGCATATATGTAATTTAAGATGTAGAAGCAGCACCGTTTTTTTTTTCTGATGTCACAACATATTACCCGCCTGTTCAGCCTACATCAGTTTAACCTCGCCCATTCACACTGAAATTTGAGTGTTTCAGCCTGGACTGCTTCTTGAATGGGGCAAAATATAGGGCAGCCAATCGGAACAGAGCTCGTTTGTATTGTCATTCTCTCTCATTTACAAAATCAGCCTAGGTATTTCTAAAGTATAAAGAGAGGTTGAGAAAATAGTCATGTAAAAATGAACTAAGACTGCTTTGGTACATAATCCCATACAAACATAAATGGACCTGAGACAAGAATAATGTAGGTATGGCCCCATTAAATATGATGATTTATCTTTTTTACAGAAGAAACACAAAGAGTAGTTTTATTGTAAGAGAGAGAACAATTTTGTCTCTCTTTAGTTATATTGACCGTTAATGGTTTTCTTTTGTCCTGTTTTTTCTTCTTTTTTTTTTTTTAAGCTGCCATTAATTTGGCTCAGCTGAAGCTTTTTAGGCACTACTACGTGATGGTGAGTGCTGACGTTATTCAATTTCTCACTCCTTCTCTCACTTTCACTCTTGCAAGAAAGTATTCAGTTTCAGCAGGAGTCACATTTTCTAGGACATTTACTCTGCATTGTAATGCATTGTAAATAGAGCACACTGGTTTTGTTGTGTGGATCATACACTACAGTGGGCTGGCTCTGTCATTGTATCTTCAGACTCTGCATTAAAAAGGCCTCGCATTTTAAATTGAGACTTCTATTAAGCTAGTGTGACCTTTTTAAAAAAAATAAAAAGGCTTTCTTGCCAAAATTTCCTCATTGTACAAAAACCGCAAAGATTCACCACCTTATTCTCTTTTTTCTCTCTCTCACTTTTGCCATCTCATTCTTTCTCTCTCTCTCTCCCTTTCTCTTTCTTACTCTCATTTTTGCCATCTCATTCTGTTTGGCAATCTCACTCTCTCTCCTACTCCTCCCTGCCTTCCTAACTCTCTGTCCATAACACCCTCCCTCACACTCTCTCTCTCTCTCCCTCTCCCCCCCAACTCTCCCTCCCTAACACACTCTTTCTCTATCAACTCTTCCTTCCTTCTCCTTTACTCCTTCCCTCCCTCCCTAACTCACTCACTCTCTCTCTCTCTCTCTCTCTCTCTCTCTCTCTCTCTCTCTCTCTCTCTCTCTCTCTCTCTCTCTCTCTCTCTCCCTCCCATCCCTACTTCCTCTGTCTCACTCTGTGTGTGTGTGTAGGTGTGTATATATATATATATATATATATATATATATATATATATATATATATATATATATATATATATATATATATATATATATATATAAAATATTACCATGAGAGAAATTTTTTTTTCTTTTCCAGAGTGAGATTAAGCTACTTCACCAAAAGATTTCTTAACGCTTTTTACTCATCTTTACCAGGGTGCCAATTAATTATTACATCTTTTAAATGGAAATTCACCTAATAGGATGTTCTTTGTAGATCTCACTCTCATTGCATGGGTTATATTGGATGTCGGTTCTGCTTGACCTGAACAATGACAGATGTGATTTATATTCATCTATTCATGACTTGCTGCGTATGAATGTGTATTACAGTTTCTTCTCCACTCAGATCCACCAGCAGTGATGTTCCTGGATGTCCTTTATTAGTTTCATTGGTCTGGATTTGTGTCTTCTTTGTCATCACTCTTACTGAAATAAGACAGATGATGCAGAGTGTAATAGATTTTGTGTGGTATCTAAATCCCCCTGCGCTGATTGGTCGGTCATGTAAAGCATTTTGTAAACATTATGTTCTCTCTCTCTCTCTCTCTCTCTCTCTCTCTCTCTCTCTCTCTCTCTCTCTCTGTCTCTCATTCACACACTCACACACAAAGTCTAAGTTTTGTTTGTTTACATTCCTCTCCAGCTACATATGACACTTTGTCACTTAATACAGACAAATGACTGTATTTACAAAGAGTACAAATACATTAGTTCAGAAAAAAGAAGTTTTTTAACCCTGATTTGATTGATCATTTTACAAATTCTGTGTCCATTATAAATAATCATGTTTCTGCTTTGCAGATTGTGTGCTACATTTATTTCACTCGTATCATCGCTATTCTCATCAAGGTTATTGTCCCTTTCCAGTGGAAATGGCTGTACCAGGTGAGTGAAGAACATTGTTCTCTTTATTCTTGCACCCATGCAATCCAACTGTATCCCACAACTGTCTAATACATTTTAAATTAATGAGAAGTGATTTATGGACTGTTAAAAATAGTTATTATATCTTTAGCAAAGATAAAAAAACAAGAACATAGCTGAAAAAATAGCACGTTTCTGAAAGGTGTCTGAAATGAATAGGATTTAAATGCTTCTCTGCCTGTAGATTAAGATTAGGAGCAGCCTTTCAGTCACTATTTGTGGTACCTTTTTCTTGTGTGTGCTGAAAATCTACGTTATACTGGTAATATTGGCCATCATGGTAAAGTTTTTTCAAAAACTTTGTGTACAGTAGCAAGCCACTGGTTGTACTCAACATCATGCAGATGTAGACTGACAGGTGGTACGAGAGAAACTGCAGTCAAAACAAATTTTATGGATTTATTTTTTGCACTATATAAAATGTTTGAAAATATGAATATGTAAAGTGATGTATTTAGAGTGTCAACAGTGAGTGATGCCAACAAATCGGAGCAGCCTTACTATTATTATTGTTTGTGCATTTAATGTGCAGCCCGGGGTGAAAGGCCATATCGTTGTCTATGTATTGCTGTAAAAATAACATGCTCTTGATCACCCCTCTTGTACCATTCAAATACAGTGCGTCTCGCTTCTACTTTAGACTGTACTCTTTAATTCACTTTTCATTGTGAGATATGCCATGACTGAATGAGGATAGCTTGGGTGTCCCTGTGTAAGTAATGGTTGGGAATAGAAACATTCAGATCTATTATGGTTGATAACATCACCTGAAAATCAAGGCCACTTTAACTGTCTGTTGAAGCGAGCCAGATTTCACTGTTTTCTCCCGGTCTTAGATTGCTTTTTTCTAGATGCAGCTGCAGTTTGGTAGAACAGAAAGTGGTTGTAGGCCAGCACCTTGCCAACCTTTTGACACTGTTGACTTTAGATGGATCTAAAAGAACTTCAAGAACTTTTGGGTCATAATATCATTGTGGTGTAATGTGCATCTTTTGTGCTCTCTTAAGCTGCTGGACGAACTAGCTACTCTGACCTTCTTTGTCCTAACCGGACACAAGTTCCGGCCGGCCTCCTACAACCCCTACCTGCTGCTGTCTGTGGAGGATGAGGAGGACATGGAGATGGACGACGTGTAAGATCTTTACACGTGCATTTCTTTAAACAAACATTCATGATGTATACTTTAATTAAACAGATACATATCTTCTCACACGAACACTCACAATTAGGGATTAGACGACAGACAGCGATGAAAAATTATGAAAAAATGTTGATATGGATTTTTATTTTTGGCATATTATGTATTTTTTTTAAAAGCTCTTTAATGCTATATACTGTTCATATGATACAAGCCAGATTGCAATAACTTGTTGGACAGAACAAAAAAGCCTTTTAAACCCTGCTTGTGACCAACATCAGTTTCTCCACTACATTAACTTGTTAACTTACTGCATAGATAATGTGGTTAAAACAGTAACTACAGTTAGCCTTGAACAATTTGCAAAGCATCTACACTCACAAGTGGAGTCACTGCTTATTAGCCTATAAATTAGTCAAGCTGGGTCATATTGTCAAGTATAAATGTAATCTCTGGAAACCACACAGACGAATCCGAAGCAGACATTTTTGAAGTTCTTTTTTATCTGTGGAAATGGGTAGAAAACACCTTCTTATCTATCATGGAACTGGAAGTCTTTTAAAAGTCAACCAGGCACATCTTTTGACTAAAATAATCCACGTGTGCTGCTAAATAACTATACAAGTATAAAAGTGAAAACTGGTAGAATGTCTCATTAAATAGATTTTACCCAAAAACTACAAACAGCCCCATGCCCAAGACAAATTAAACATGAGCATGAACAGCTTAAATGACTCTGAAGACACTTGCAGTATACCCCTACGTTAATCAGTGTAGCCTGAAGCAATCTGTTTTTTTTGCTATTTGCATCATGCCACTGGAAAAAGCTGGTGTTAAAAACAAAAGCATCACAGAATCACCTGCTTTACTAGCCATGGGCTGTGCCATGTTGCCACAGATTATTACTTTGCAATAGTTTCATTTTTCACTCTTTTGTTGCACACAAAACTATTGAGCAAGACAAGGAAGGATGATATCGCAAAAGCCATCCATTAGCCAGGGTAGAGCAGTAAAGTTAGAAAACGTTATTAGATGCATTAAACATAAAAAGTGAAATATTATTTTACAGACCGACTAAATGTAGCCATATGCATAGGTTTGGGCTCTCCTGGTCAAATTACATGGTGTTGATTTTCTACTTGAAAATAAGTATACCTCCTCTACAGAGAACACAGTTCTGCACATTTTAATACACAATTACAATTTATTTGCTAAATTTAGGTAGATAGTATTAAGCACCATATGAACATTTTGAGTAGTTTTCTCCAGCATGGCTAAAAACTCTTTTATTGAGGAGGATGGAAAGAGCAGTTGAGAGGAGACTTCTGCTACGTAACTCTCCCACCGCAGCTCTTAATGGAGAGCTTTTCTCAGCAGAGACAGGAAATAAGAGCACACATGTGAATGTGTAAACATACAGTTAACCCTGCTTTAAAAGTTACAGTTAGTTTTACTTTCTTTGTCACGTAAATATTGTCTATAGACTGACAGTTTATGTCTCAATTGCATGAGTGGCATCTCAAAAACCCCTATCACACGTACTTTTTATGTGGTAATTCAACTCTAATTAACTGTGGAGAGGTAAACTGTGAACAAGTCATTGTCAAAATCACAAGAACACAGCATTTTTTTAGAATTTCTGCATAATTCAATTGTTCAGCTGTAAATAAAGTCATTTAGAGTAGTTGGGTGTGAAATTGTTCATTATAGAGAAACTTAGAAAGATGAGTTTCTTTATAGTGGTGGTGATGGGAACCAGGGGTCCGGCAGTTTATGACACAAATAAAGCCATTTTATTTGCTATCTAAAACCACTACTGAACCTACACGTGTCTTTTGAGTTTTGATGATGGTAAAACAGAGGTAAACCTGAAATATACATTATCTTTTGGGGCTATTTTGCCTTAAAACACCCTGCATGTACCTCTTCACCATGAATAGATTTAAAAATATATACTTTAAGTCAAAATTGCATCTCAGAACTATTGTAAAACAATATATCAGACATCAGGCAGCATATTCTTGATCAATTTGTGCAATATGTTTATCATGTACCTTTTCAGGGTACACTACCACTATGAACAATTCTGACTCACAGTTTCTCAGAAACTGAGCATTCCACATTAAACCACTCCAGTTGACTGTGTTTATATCATAATGATTTAATTATGGAGAAATTTGCAAGGAATTTTAAATCTATGTGTTGGTTTGGAATAAGTAAACATGCAAAGTAAACATGAAGTATTTGTATCTCTTTCACTGCAGTAACTAAACACTTGGGTATGCACTCTGAAGTACTGTAGTATTGGGTTGACCATTTAAGAGAAGGAGGTCTAGGCTATGTTCTGCCTTAGACAATTGAGAAAAGGTGAGATGGATTCTTGTGTACAAATTGTTACCCACGTGAGCTACATCAACAGCTGAGTCCAGGCCACACACACACACACACACACACACCTTGTCCTGCCACCTGTCTTGGCTATAGTTGAAACCCAGAGGGACACATGGCCTGCTGGAAGAAGCAGTCTTCATTAAAGGAGCTGGCTGTTTGAGCACCTGCCCTTCTCACACACATAAAAAAGCCTTGCTCCTGTCCGTAGTAGACATGTCCCTTAAGGCCTGGCCACTGCTGCCTTGCCTCATTACTTTCATCACTGTCTCCTCTTACTTTCCTCATTCACTTTGTTCTAGCTTAAATTGTCCCAGGTGGTGACCTGACTTCATCAGATATTTAAACATTTGTTCCTTCTCCTTTAAAATTACTATTTTGGAGATATAAGATTTTGGTCAAAATCAACTAATCTATATGTAATATGGTTCGTGTGTGTGTTTATATATATATATATATATATATATATAATGTAATGTAATGTAGTGTAATGTAGGTTAGCCCTGTTTATTTCATTCTTGTTCTAAAAAATGTACAAAACAAACACACACACACACACATCCGATACCCACTGTTTCTCTTTGGGTATTCCTTCAGGCACTTTGTCCTTTCTCTCACTTGTTTTTCTCTTTCTCTGGACCACTCTCTGTCTCTTTCATTTTGCCCCTCCCTCCCAAACCCAACCAGAAATAGCTTAGTGGAACTGTGGTGTCCTTGTTCTTCACCTGCACAATTCCCCCACCCTTCTTTTCTCCATGCTGTTTTTTCACACCTGCCTGGGGACAAACTCAATCATGCCCTCTCTCTTTCTCTCTCCCTCACTTTCTGAGACCCTCAACATGAATTGAATGGGGCAGTGGACTACCTTATAGCCTATTTTCTGTGTTGGCAGGGTAAAGGGGCATGTGGGTGCAGTCTGAATTGGCTGTACCCATTGAGTCATAAAAAGAATAGAGAAAAGATGGATGATGGGGACACATGGAAAAGAAAGGAGGCCACTCGAGAAGGCACAAGAATCAGCTGCATTTCCAACCCGCTAGTCAGATAATAAAGATGAAAATTTCAAGCACCCTGCAACATATTAAATACATACATACATACATACACATACATACATATAGACACATCATTATTCTACATGAATGTAACTGGGTACAGTAGGGGGAATTTAACTACAAAGAAATGTGCAATGGCATTACAACTAAAATAATGTACTTTATAAATCAAGTGGGATTAAAAAAAAAACCTTTTAAAACATTTGTTTTGGCCAGAGGGCCTGATGGGAGGAGCTGAAAGGAGCTGTAAAGAGAATGTAAAGGATGCCATACTATGGAAGTAGCTTTCCTATGAACTGACTGGTTGTACAGTTCTGATAGTTCAGTTTGAGTCATACCAGTTATTTTGCTCACCTGTTTGATGATTCTTGATAACCTGGTCTTGTTTTTGGCACAGAGGAGGTTGTGCCAGGATGTGATGTTACAGATTAGCACTGAACTAATGAAAGATTTGTAATGTTGCTATACTTCTGAGCATCCTTAGAAGAGTTAGTCGCTGCTGATATTTCTTATAAACTCTGTCGATGTGAGACAGAAACCTGTTTATTTCTGTGCCTTTACAATTAAATGCAAAAGTTGGGGCACGCTTGGTTAAATTACAGATTTTGTTGATTTTTGAAGTGGAAAGAAGTAAACACAAGCTCGGCAGCAAATTATTTAAAAAATAGCATTATCTGGCAAATGTTAATGCATTTGATTAACTTAAACATTAGAAAACAAATCCCAATTGGGATATGTGCAAAAGCTATTCCAATAGCTTCAGCTTGTATTTCTTGAAGTATTTAAATGTGGATTTTGAGGTATGTTTTGTAAGAGGTATGTCTGTGGCCTCAGAGTTCTGTTTTTACCTCTTCAGTCCAAAATTATTTCCAAAATGAATTTGGTTTATCTAAATAATGTACAGTACAACAGTGTACCACCACTCCTTTGTCAGGAAAAACCTTCCTGCGGGTCCCTTGCTGTCATATGGGGTGTTTGCTTTGCCTTTCTGTTCAGTATAGAAGCAGCTCTGTTTCTTGGTCTTCCAGATCTTGCGTTTCCTTGCTTTGCCTTGCATTGACTTTAACAGTCATGTCTTTTGGACATTTCAGACAGTGGAAGTTGTGGTTTGGAAGACATCTTTTTATAGCCTTCTCCCTCTTTGTAGGCATCAGTTGGCTTCAATTTCAGGTCCTCAGCCAGCTGCTGAGAAGAGTCCATGTTTGTTGAATGTTAGCACTTAACGTGTCCTTGACTTGTTTAATCAGTCTTAATAAGTCAATTAAGGCCTAATGGGAAAAGGGGTTGGAGAGAGTTAACTATTTGTACTGTTTGCGGTTCTCTAAGTTAGACTAGTTGTTGAGTAGGGGTGCGGGAAAAAATCGGTTCTTAGATGCATCGCGATGCGGACGTGAACGATTCTGAATCGATTCACAAATGTCAAAAATCGATTTTCTAAATATTTAATTTATAACGTAATGTTGACGGAACGCAAACGGCGGAACTTGGAAGTGCAACACCCGGACAGTCTGTGGCGGCACATAACAAAAACACCACTGGACGAGCGAGAAATCCGACCGGCTCCCTCTGCATTAAAGCCAGGTTAGATCAGGAGTCACAACACAAATGTTAACATTTTGTCCTTTCAACAAAAATCAAACCACCTTGGGAGCCGCAACATTTAATGTCCAGTATGTCTCAGTATGTGTTAATGTCCTAGTATAGACTAAACAATATAAACGAAAACACAGACTTACTTTGCTCTGCTTTAAGCTTTAGCTTAGCTCAGCTACAGCCGCTTTCCTCCCATCTCCGCCAGAAAACTTTTCCTCAGAAGTAACCTAGATCAGTTAAATGTCTCTCAACGTTCGACTGTTTTACGAGGCTGAAGTCGCTTCTTATTCTCCAGCTTCTTGTTCGAATTTACCCGTTCCACTTTAAATTCTAACTGAGGCACCAAATGTAAATGCGGCACCATTTAAGGTGGAACGGGAGAATTCGAAAGAGAAGCGACTTCAGCTTCGCCACTTTTTAGTGTGTGACAGTCTGTCGTTGCAGATTTAACGTACCAGGAAACCAACTGCGCTGCTTATAAATGCGAATAACGCATCGTTGTTAGGTGACCTGCAGTTTGCACGCCGGTTCTCAGCCATTGCGAAACAGGGCTTTCGCGCTATGTTGCATTACATTTGATTTATTAAAAAAGATATTGGAAGTAAATTCATTATGGATCATTACAAATACTTTGCTTTAAAAGTACCAAGTCACTTTAAATAACAATAACACAGAGTTACTTAGTCACTTTAAAATGTATATTGTCTCTATATTCTTTTTCTTGTATTTTTATTTTTACTTATTTACTTTCTGTAGAGTAATTAGTCTCACCACAAGCATTTCAATGCATAAATGTCCTGACATGTTGTGCAAATGACAAACTCGAAACTAGAGCTCACACAGTGAGAAAATATAAATGCTATATAGAAAAAAAAAGATGCATCGAGATGCATCGATAATCGTTTTATAATCACATCGCAGCCCTCTGAATCGTAATTGAATCGAATCGAGAGGTGCCTAGAGATTCCCACCCATATTGTTGAGTAAATGATAGTTGACCGTAGTAAATAAAAACAACATGCCATAAGATCTCTGATAGCAGTTAAGTCAGATAGCATGTGGCAAATACACTTGGCAAACCACTGCTAACATTCCGAATGCTTTGTTGGATAAAACTAATAGACTAGGTGGTATTAAAGACAATGTCAACTAATGATAAAATGTCTTGTGTCCGTCAGAGGACTGGGTTGATACTGTGTCTGTTGGAAAAACATTGTGCAGACCACTGCTTAGGTACGGTTAACCGAAGCGTGAGTTAAAAACTGGTACTGAATGCGCAAGCTGTTACCTTCACAGTTTTGGTTGAATTTTGAAACTTGAATAAACAAATAAGCAAAGGTCAGCCCTGGGATCAGCTTGGTAGTGCTGCTTTGAAAAGCACTTCAGAATGTCACATTGCCCTTGCCAGATAGCTAGCATAGGCCAGCACCAAACTGTGCTTCAGGTAGGCACCATGTGGCCTGGCATTTTTTGGGCAGGTCGTGAGTGGCAGAGTCGTCCCAGGAGAAGGAGGTGAAGGTGCTGCTGGTGAAGCGGGTTTGGCTGGCCCCAAGTTCAGTTCATCTCTCTCTCTCTCTCTCTCTTGTTCATCTTAGCCAGAGGCTGCTGCCATCCCAATTTGGACTCAGAAAGACAGGCTTGCTGGATGATTTTTGTGAAATTTGTAGCTGGTGTGGAACTGTCAGATGCTCAGTGTGTGAATGCTGATATGTAGTAAGCTAACAGGATAGACATATCCTATTTCTATACTTAAATGGCTTTGCCAAAAATCAGATGTGCTTGATCAGACATAAGCAAGTATTTTTGAGATTACTTGACATGATTGGAGTCTGATGTGTCACGATTTAGGCATGCAGTTTGTACAGTGCTAACTGGGCACACAGACTGGGTATAAGCTTCCATTACTTGGTAGCTGCATTAGCTTTGTAAAACTAACGGCTAATCAACGACATTTTAGTGAGTTCTGTGCATTTGATTATTTTGCTAAACTAGCACTTTACCGCTGTGAGCTACTGAACTAATGAACTACTTAACTGAGAAACCAAGACACCAGTTTTAGGGAAGTAAGGATATGAAGTTCTTTGCTGGCTAATTTGAAGCTTTTACTGTCTACATGCCATTCACTTACCTTTGTTGAAAAGGACATGCTTAGTTGACTGAGCAGTCAGTGATTGAGCTCCTGCATACCCTTGAAAGGCATATTTCTTCCAGTTGTATTTATAGCAAGTACTACTGTTGGGTGTTAGACCATGAAATTCACTCTGTTGTTTTAAAACAAGGTGACAGTCTAAATGTACTGGGTACCTGCCTTTTTCAAATCAGCCAGCCAACAACTCATGTCCTGTGTTTAGAGCCTACTTTCATTGCTAGATGTCAAAATGCAAGCGAAAGGAATAAGAATTTTGTTGAAATTACATTAGTGGTACCAACTGATCTATAGTATAGTCATAGTAATTCTCTTGTTTCATTGGATTTGCATGTGATGTATATTACACGGCTCCCAGATGTTGAGTACAGGCCAGGTTGTTCTTAATAAGGCATGCATAATGGAGCTAATCTAACACATTAGCTGCTGCCACCAGCCCTGCCATACGCAGTCCAATCTGTGTCAAGTAATTATCAGTAACAGAAGGGGCTGGACTGTGTGTGTGTGCACGCTTTCTCTTGGTTTTAGTTTGACACTTAAACATCTTGTCATCTATCAAGACAAATGGTTATAAAACAAGCTTGTAATGGTTGTTCAATCCAGCAATAATCTGTTTGAAGTTTTCTCAGAAAAGGAAGAATTCATAGTCACTCTTGATCAATTAATCATGGGATTGTGGCGTAGCTCAAGGCTTTTCCTAGAGAAACAGAGTAATTGTAAATATTTCACACACTGAGGTCTGTGTAGTGGAAGTACTTCAAGCTAGAATTGCTGATCCAAGATCATCTGCTTCTAGCTGATACCAAAATGCAAATAGTTCACCAGAGAGATCGTGCTGTTTTCCTGAGGACTTTTAAGCTTTGATTCTCAAACCCAAACTTTGATTCTTATCTGCAAGTCACCATATAAACAGAGCCAGAAAGCTTAAAGCTGAGCAATAAAGCATCAACAGTAAATATCAGAGTCAAACATTACATGCTTTTGAGGTATTTTTGACAAAATGACTTTCTGTTCCTCTGTCTGGTTCTAGCTGTCAGTCCTGTGCACAGACAGACCCCAAGGGAGGCCTAAACCCCTGTCCTTTGGACCTTAAGCTGTACCATTGCTCTCTTGATTGGCATGTGTAATAATTGTTTTTTATATGACCTATGTAGCAGCAAAGGTTGCTTATTACTTGCTAAACCATGATTATTATTGTAAAAAACATGGGCAGTGTGGACCTCTTACAGGGACTAGCTGCTTAAAGAGAGTTCTGGCTCATTCTTTAGGTAGTGCAGTAGATAACACCAGCGCCATGTATGCTGGGGACTGGGGTTCAGTTCCCTGTTTGGGTAGAAATGGCAGTGATTTCTGCTCAAAAGAATCACTGGGAAAGACTCATAACGCTTTTCCCTGAATCAGAATTAAATGCATTCTTCAGATAATGTGATGTATGTTGTAAATTAAATTTTATTCATGTTCAAGTGACCCTTTTTTCTTTCAAGTCCTGCCTCTTAGTGTCTGTGCATGGACCTGTTAAACTTTGAATAATTACTACATCATTATTTTAGGTGATGTGCCCTTTACTTGGTGGATAGGGAGAGGAAGTCATTTAGCCATTCACTCACAACAGTATAAACTAGCGAAACTAGCTAGTTAACTGTTTTCAAACTTGGAGTTATGTAAAGTAAAAAAGGCAGTGAGTTTGAGGAAATGTCTCTTTATGAGAGCAAATTGTGGCAAAAGTGGCAAAAGTGCAGAGGCCCTGAAATATGATTACCAATGTTATATATTACACCAGAGTCTTTTGTTCTCCTCAGGGTGCAAATACTTTTTAGATGCAGTGATCATCAGTAGTAAATGGTATGGAAAATTTATAAAATCTTTTGTAGCCCTAGCTAGAATAGCTCTAGCTATAAGTCTTCCATCTTGTTTGAACCTTTATCTGCTCTCTCTACAGGGTCACTACATCCACAGCCATGGGGGAGGGCGTTAAGAAGGTGAAGAAGGTGTCGAACGGCCCATCAGAGGAGCGAGAGAGCATGGCATGATGGGAAATGTAGTCCCCTGATCTCAGGGTGCTTCTGGACTTTGTGGCTAGCTACTGATGTGGTGGACGTTCTTTTAACAAGAGCTTCACTGCCGCCTCCGTTTGACCTTGTTTGTGGACGACGGCCTGATTCGTTGAATTCCTACTGGACCTTCAGTGATTATCTCATGCTGAGACATTAGTGGTCCAAAACCCGTATGTATACCTTTGCAAATGTTACATAGACAGAATGAGGACTGACAGACTGCTATGCGATTTTCCTTCCTGTCTCTATAATTCTAATGGAAATGCTTGGTGCTGTGCTTTTGTCCTCGGCTAACGCAGGTTGTTTTGCCTTTGTTTATTTTTTATTTATTTTTTTATTAATGATCTCCTTATGGCATCTCTTGATCTGAGACATACTCAGGCACTTTATCCAATGCGCTCCGGACAAACACAAGTCATTGTAGAGCCAGCTGCTTCTTGTGTGAGTTTCAGTTTCCACTCTAAATATCTCATTTCAAACACTGACTTAAAAGCTAACTATATCTCTTGTATAAATGTACAGATTCTGAGACTAATGTACAGCAAGATTCCTACTTTAAAGAGAACAAAACACAGCATATGCAGTTCTAAATGCTTGTCATGTTTTCAGTGGCAGTTTTTTCTTTTTCCTCATTTGGGGTTTAATAATGGTATGTATGGGTGAATCTAGGCAATTCCAAAGTGGATGTTGCACATAAATAGCAGGACTGTATATTTAAAAGGTATCCGTTTTAATAATTATCAGTTGATTGAAGGATCTTTATGGGACTTCTATTTAAGGTTTTGGTACCATGTGTAGAAGAATTTTAATTTGACGCTCAAATATTTTGCTTATTTTCAGAAATATGTGGGCAAGCTAGATGAAGTGATGACATTTTTCCCAGTATTAAACTGTTTAATGGTTTGATTCAAATTCATGAGTATGGTTTTTTTAACTTTTGAATTTTTAAATTTTGAAAATTGATTTTTATTATCATGATTGCAAGCTGGTTCCAGAGAGAATCTCAATTTTCACACCAGTATAAACATGTAAATTAGTCTTGTTGAAAAAATTCAGACTTAAGTGGGTTCATCTCCCACAGAAATGTATCACTTGAGACATTTATGTTTATCTCATGACCAGTGGACCAGTGAGGAAAATGTCCTCAGCTTGTGTTTGCATGCAATATTGAAGCAGGTTTTCAGAAAAAATAGGTCACGTGGAAGGTTCATGCCAGATAATTCTTTAGTACGTGGTCAGTGAATTGGTGTGTTCCAGTTCATTGCACTACATTTCATTTTTCTACATGATTGAGCTCCAGAAGGGCCTGATTATTAGTTATTGGTGTGAACCTAGTGTAGAACAAATGCTACATTGTGCAGCACAGATGTACTAATAGACTGGAGGTCAAAAATACTGTTTTAGGTGCTTCATTTTCCAAATGCAACTACTCTACCCAACAGACAACCAAACCAGGAGAAGCTTTAATCATATTGGTCACAAAATGAATTTCCCCAGTCTGTTACTTCCTTAAAGTTTTAGAAAATGTTATTTCTACATCTTCTTTTAAAATAACTGACTTAACTTTAAGATATAACATTCTTCTTAAAACTTCAGCGATGGATTCCTTGTTTATATTGGGTTTCACATAATATTTACTTTGTTGTTTTGTTTTGTTTGAGTATGAAGAATTAAATACATTTTTCAGTGGTTAGATCATTGTGTACAGACATAGGATCCAGAGGGTACAAGAAATGGAGGGGCTATCTGAAAGCAAATGTCCTTCGACCATCTACCAGTGTTTTGGTTGGATTACAATGCTGCAAAAACATCTCAATATTTTAACTCCCTGTATAGTTTGGCTATGTCCTTTTGGGCAGTTTGGATATGCCTGTTTGGAAAATCTAGTTCTAATAGTAGAATATAGTGCTTTTTATTACATTAAATATGCATAAAGTTGTAGCAGAAACAATTCTGATTCTGAAACCTTGACTGTTGGCCAATGCTGACATTATCGATAGTTTTTTCTTTGAGCTACTAAGCTTTAAAATGAAATTTTTATCATTGTTCTCATGCTCTAATTCGCTCAGACTCGACCATACTGTTATCACAAGATATTATCATGTGTTGTATCATGACTTTGTATTGTGTCGCTACAAGCAATTCTGTGCTATTTTAAGGTTAGATTTGTGACCAAATTATTTCTGATTCCTTTCTTTTCTCCCTCATTCGACGCATTTTCTGATGATATTGGCCTGATACCAGTACTGATAGTGCTATCCTGTATTGAATTGGTGCTGCCTCTAACTACTAATTATTTACGACGAAAATGGTTTATGTGGTTGATGAGCAACTTTGAAAGTTATGCCTCATGATCATGTACCCAGTTATCTGAAATTTGTGTGTGTATGTGTTTTTATTATTGAAAAATGATGCAAATGTTCCTTTAAGTTTTTGGAGCGAGTTGTGGTTGTTTGTTAATGGCCTCCATTGGCGTCACAGTGAGTTAGTTGATTGTGACAAATTACCATGAGTATCTGATATCACCCAGGGCATAGGAGAGAGTTCTGAAATTTACCTTTTATAATCTTTGGCTCTAAACTAAATTTGTTTGCTTGTGTCCTATTAAAACCAATGTAGCTGTTGCTAAACATCTCTAAAAATGAATCACTGTTGGAAATGGCCTAATTCCTAAAGCGTCTAGCTTTCCCTTGTGTGGGCATGCATTGTCAAGCATCAGAACGATCTAAATGTCCTGAATGTTCATGGTGGCATATAAACAGAAAGAATGGATTAATATCTGCGGATGTGTCCTTGTATTTGACACCAAGACACAGCAAACCTGCTAATCACTCCCAAGTACTCAGCGTCAGCACTGCGGCTCAGACGCCTTTTAAGAGCTTCTGATGTTGACAAAATGTCAACGAGCAACTAATGAAGAGCCTGTGCTGCCAAAGAGTGTGTCACAAGCGCTAAGCTAGCTCCCTCTGTGTTAGCACTAAAACTTTCCTCTCTTCTTGTGGCCCATGTGGGAGACAGATGGAGGCTTCAGTAGTGCATTTTAGAAGGGATACACACACACAGTGCAGACATGTGGGATGTTGCCTAGTTATCTAAGCAGAGAAGATGGCTGAGTGGCTCTAAATCCTGTTGCAGTAACGGTGCCATTTTGCTTTAAGTCCTTTAGTCTTTTTCACAAAGTCATTTTACGTACACTGTTTGGGGGGGGGGTTTTATATAGTACCAGAAAAGGTTCCATGGCTTGCTTCTAGCAATAGTGTGTGTGTGTGTGTGTGTGTGTGTGTGTGTGTGTGTATATATATATATATATATATATATATATATATATATATATATATATATATATATATATATGTGTATATATATATATATATATATATATATAACCTCGATATGTTTGTGGCTGATGCATGGGGAAAATCTAAATACAGGTCAGTTGGCTACATTTGCTGAATAAATAAAAATCATCTTTATGCGCGTCCTCAAATAAGCAAGTCACTAATAACTGAACCAGCAACAGTTGTATTGATTTTGGTCTGATCTAACTCCTTGTAATACAGTTTGCTTCTTAAGATATGTTGGCACACTATCAAATAATTGTTTAAGCTAATCATTTTGCATTATATCTGCAATTTCTTTGTTCAGTTCCTTGTGAATAACCTGTCCATAAGAATTAATAGCATATGTAGCATTAGAGGCTTTTGCTAGTAAGCCTAAATCTGCTTTAATCTGGCATGTTATTGTCTGTAGTGCATTGCTATTTCAGGGGCAGGCTATCTGTCTTGCTATTTAGGGACACTGGGATTAGCCTAATTTGTCTCGCTTTCAGCATTCATTGTCTTGCCGCAGAAGCATTTAACTCCCTGGCCATTTGGGTTTGGGGATTGGTTGGGGCTTGTGGTGGATCTGCTGCTTTATACAACTGTCTAAAGATTAGATACCAGCCACGTTATCTATCTCCCTGGGTGTATAGAGGCCCTTTTAAAAAAAAAAATTCTGACAAAATACAGCACAAGATACAGAGCCTCGTGTTGCTAGCTGCTCATTTTGGGCATGTAATGTTTTATATCTTGTCATGTTGAGTTAAGCCCGTTTGAGTTTCAGTTTGTTCATGTACATAGAAATACTGTCCTGAGTGCCTTTGATGTAATTCTCTACAGTTTAGAAGAAGACATTTCTTGAGCTGTTACAATCAATTATGTAAAATTCCATGTGTTCATGAATGGAAAATTAACCACTGAATGGATGAATGGAAGCCTTTTTACAAGCAAAGCCTTTAGACATATCCAGTGTAGGGAAGAAGGCTTTTGAGAGAGAGCGAGAGAGAGACACACACTAGGAGAAGCTACAGGAACCTGTCTGAGTTCTTGTCTTACTGGTTGCGTTTAAAGTCACAAAGTTGCTGTAAGTGGGGTCATATTGTTTCCTGTCTTCCAGTGTTGATACACCCTTGTCTGAGTGTATCAGTCACTGATAAAATGTCCAAACTTAAAAAAATGTGCGAAATACCTAGCGTTGAGGAGAAAGAACTAAGAGAAGCTCCAGAAACTCTGTGTTCCTGAAATTGTCTTACTGGTAGTATACGCTAAGGTCACTCGTATGTTCCCACGGTCCTATGTTTCCCAGTCCTTTTATTTTCTCATTGAAATTTGATGGAAACAGCCCTGTGTTTTCAGGGGCCTGTGTTCTACATGTGTGGTGTTGCCTATTCTGTGTTCTCATGGCCCCAATGTTTAGTCCCAAGTTGCCTCAATGACACAACATTCATTTTGTCAGTTTCTAAATATTTCAAAACTAGTGACATTCAAATTGCTACTTTCAAGTTGAGCTCAACTACTCCATCTGTCATACAACCTGCTGATGTAAGTTTACTTTACTATGCTGACTTGCTAAGAACTACACAGCTAGCAACAATAACAAAAAATATGTGCAATGCATTCAAAAGGTAGATGTATTCTACACACTTTTTTTTTTTTTTTAAAGAGGTTTGCATTGCAAAGTTTGCTTATATACTTAATTAGCTCAATAAGACCAGCCAAGCTAAGGGCAATTGGGTTCATGTTGAAAAACCTGCTTTTTGTTTTTCCCCTGTATCACCTTTGGTGACCTATAACAGTCCTGTTATAGATTTCCTTAAGCTGCCCTATGTAAGATTTGGGAATATGGAGACCTCTCTGGTGGAAATGTTATTACACACAATGTGTGGAACACTTTCTGATGTCAGTTGTGCTTCAGACCCCCACAAGCCCACAAACAATTCTGATGTTTGCGAGTATGTCAAAAGATTATCAAAAGACAGCTCAGTCAAGACCTGGTGAAGGATGTGTCTTCCTGAGTATGTAAGTGAATTATCTACTATTGCCATCATCATCAGTATAATGTTAATTTTGCATTTGAGACCTAAAGATTAAGCCAGACCTTCTTTTTGAATCTGCATGTGTAATGTTAATGCATATGACGTGGGCCGAAAAACTCTGGCGAAATCCCACCTAATGCCTCTCGTTTTGAAATGATTATTTCAGGCTTTACGGGCCTGAGTACTGCTTTGAGAACAACTGCTTTAGGGGACCATGCTGTTCTGTGGCATTGTCCCATAGAATCTTTTTTGGCACCTTTAGTTTAAAGAATGTATTGTTGATGTCAATTCATAATCTTCATTTTTTTATATACCTTTTCATTATGCCAGTTACCCCTTATCTTGTGTGATCATTCTATGACAATTGGACCAATCTGGTTACAAGGTTACATTGATTTACATTGACCTTAAGAATGGTCAAA